TTCCCATAGCATTTTATGATTGCAGATACCTTATTCTAATCGTCATAAACAGTTCCCACACTCCGGACTGCTCGCCTTTAATACTTCCTTCACCACTTCCTACGTTGCGGACCTGTTTCCCTCCCTTCCCATAGCATCATAGGATTGCAAATACCTTACTCTAATGGTCATAAACAGTTCCCACACCCCTGACTGCTCGCATTTACTACTTCCTCCTCCCTTCCATAGCATCATAGGATTGCAAATACCTAATATAATGGTCATAAGCAGATCCCACACTCCGGACAGCTTGCCTTGACTACTTCCTTCATCACTTCCTACGTCGTGGACCCGTTTTCCTCCCTTCCCTTATAGTTTTTGGAATGCAGATACCTAAATCTAATCGTCATAAACAGTTTCCACACTCCAGACTGCTCACCTTTAGTACTTCCTTTAGCACTTCCTATGTCACGGACCTCAAGCTAGTGTCGTCATTTGATTATATTTATGATTCATACAGTTTCTGTTCTAATATCTGTGGAATAATGCTATCAGCTATTTCTTTATCTACTGCATTCAAAAGTCAACAGCTGATCATATGTCTTTGTTTATGTGTCAAATACTGCTTCCATAAGGATTACATTGAAACTTTGAGACCCAGTGGGGCGGATTCCTGAGAGTTATTTTTAACGCCATATAGATGTTGGCACTCACCGATATGGACTTTATCACCATCCAAAATTTGAAAACGATTGATTCAGCCGTCTAGGAGGAGTTTGCGTATTACGAAATGCATAAAAGTCGACGTATAAGAGCTTCGCTCGCTTCGCTCGCTCCGCTCAAAAAGGGATTAAAGAATTTAGTCAGCTGTTTCAAGTAAAAAAGTTGGTTCTATGATATGCAAAAGCATTAAAAAGTTTTACAAGATTACCAACAGGGTGCAGCACTATTATTTTTTTGCATTTATGTAAACAGCTAATTTCAACTAAGCAGCAACAAAAAAAACTGTGATACGCAATGAGAACTGTCAAAGTAGAATTGTTTACATTTATGTTTATGTTTTTAATTTCATGAATAACTAGCAGTTACCCGGCGCGATGCTGCGCTAACAACTATTATTTCTAGGATAATGGTTATTTTTTCTTTACAATCTATCTTTATATAGGGCCTATTCATTAGGTGTACCGTATGAATATATAAGTTTTTACTTTGATAAAGGTTTTTACTATTTAATTTTTACATATAATTTAATACAGTTGGGGAGAGTTTAAACATTGTTGAGTGCACAGGTGTGCTGCGATTGGTGTTTAAATATTTCGACTTATAGTAGACTCCCTCTTATCCGGACACCTTTTAACCGGACATCGGTTTAAAAAAAAAAAAATTCTTTGCAAATTGTGATTAAAGTCTTATAAATCACTAAGTTAACTAAGTGTTAATAACTTATTGGCACATTTGACCATTAAGTGTCAATGACTTTCTAACTTAGAACCTAACTTAACCTTGGTTTACCCAAAATCGATTGGCACTTCGCTACCTAACCAAAATTATGAATGGGTTAGGCTAGGTTAAGTTGTATAGGTTGGATTATATTTAATTTAGTTTACCCAAAAATCGTTCATTTTCGGCACTTTGCTATTTTTACAACTTTTCAGACCTGGTTTACTGGGTAAAAATGGCATTTGCCAAAAAAGTGGACGAAGGAGTAAGTGTTTGAAATTTCCAACTTAAATAACAAGAAAACCACATGAAAAGTAAAAAAAAAATTTCAGGTGTCAAAAATTGTTGATTTCTAGCTTTTTGCAATGTTCAAACACAATTGAAATGGTAGGCCTAGTCGTTTGGGACCCCCAAAAGTGCCAAAGGGAAAAAGTGCTTAATCCTTTTGCTGCCACGGTCCGATATATCGGACAGCGGCGCTATTGCGAAAACAGCCACGGTCCGATATATCGGACGTCTGCTAAATGTTTGTTTACTGGCCAGCTGATCGTCCAAATGGGACGTATAAACCTATGGAACGATTTGTCATGAGTCGGGCTACATGTAGAAACAGCTTTTGCTTTAAGTTACTTTGAGTTTCGTTTTTTGTATGACTGCTGGAAAAAGTGGCATTGCATCATCTGTGTTTGTATATACATAAGAGTGCTGTTGGAGGCTAATTGTCGTGTGTTTCTACAATTTTTATTGTGTTTTACGAGTGATTTTGTTTATGAAAATGAGTTACCCCACTGTATAATATAGCCCAATTTATTTCTAATTTGTTTGGTAACCATGGATTATGAAGTAAATATTTATTTGAAAGTCAATAATTAGGACTAAGTGATAAGAGTAGGCCTATGTACGTAGGCCTAGGCCTAAAGTATTTTTTCAAAAAAAGCACCAAACTGTGAGCTGATTTTTTGACGTTAAGACTTTCAAATTTAGCCAGTTTACTAACAAATATATGTAGAACACATATCTATCACTTACTTATAAGAAATATTTTTTTCTGGTGTAGGCCCTACATAGTTGCTGGCTTATGAATTTAATTTGTATGTATTTTTTTTGTATTGCAAAACATGTTTTTAATAAGTTATGTACGGGAATAAAAAACCAAATCCAACCAAATGAATTGTATATTAATTTAAAAACAAATTTATAACTAATCTAACAATAAAAAAGAATTAATTATTGTTCTATGCCTTAAGAAACAAGAGATAGATAGAGCTTGTTAATCAAAACATTGCGCTTGACCAAAAATTGGCCTTAGCGGTTTTAACATGCGACTACTTAAAAATTTTGGCGGCAAAAGGGTTAAACTAGCCTAAGTAATTTTGGTAGATAAGGTAAAAAAATCAATAACTTAACATAAGTAGGTAGAGTTCAGGTAAGTACCCTTTTTTACAAATTACAATTTCATCCGATAGTATGGCCTATCTAAGGTTCTCAGCGGAACTGTACCCAGTTATTGTCTTAAATTAGGCTACCTTCTCATTCTTCATTTCATTATAAAATCACAGAGGATACGTGTCCGGTAACCGGACGTGGATTAGGCGTCCGGAAGTGACGTCATCGGGTTGTGGGGGCTCGGAACGCCATTACCACAACGATACGATGTACAGCCAACGGTGTTCGTGGTGTAGTGGATAGGCCTAAGAGGTCCCTGGTTCAAATCCCATCGGTGACTATAACTTTTTGTCAAAGATCTTGCTTTGAATGTCATGTCTTCTTAACTCTACATAATTTGTTAGAATTTTTGGCATATAATTTTATTAGATTTTTTCATTATCAGCAAGTTTGGTTGGTTAGGTTAGGTCATGACAGTAAAACTGCCGAAGGCCTAATTTACATCCGGTTACCGGACGCGTAAGTTATCCTCTGCGGAAAAAAATGGGCTAAACTTAGGCCTGAGTTAGTTACTAAATTGTAGCCTTCATTAAGCCTAGTCTTGACATTTGTAAACCCTTACATATTTACATTTAACACGTTCACTGCGCTACGAGATCCCGAGGTCTTGTATCGTACCTAGCCCGTAGTGCAGGACCCATAATTTGGCTTCTTTCCAAAAATTGCGACATCGATATTTCGGCGTACAGTTATCATAAAGAAATGAAACTTGTACATAGCCTATATAATGCATTTTTCTTGGTGTATCAACAAGTAAATATGAAATTAACGAGATATATAGATCTCGTAACGCACTGAAGTAATAAACTTTTACTTTATTACGATACGAGACCCTTAGGTCTCGTATCAAAAATAGTTGTTCCAAGCACTAAATGAGGCTAATGGGGTGATTAGTAACCATGGTAACCTTAGTCGAATGCTTGGATGAAAGAAGGAAACCAAAGAAATAATTCAAGAACTAAGAGAATTAAAGAATAAGTAATGGTTTTTTATGCTGTTATTTTTTAGTTAGCCTACCTTATCTAATGTTTTATAGGTTTACATATTTATCTACCTATTTCAACTACAGGAACATAAATCTTGTTTAACTATTGACATGTTTCTCTTCTAAAACAGCACTAACGGATGCATATTAAAGGTCACTGGTAAATTACCTAAAATATCACGATTGTGCAATGTTGTATTTTGATGTAAAAAAGCAAATCATTAATTAGAATAATTAATACATTAATTCAAATATTTCTCCTGGTCCCTACTAAATCATACAAAAATCAATGCTAAATAATCGTCAAACCGGACAAGCAATTTCCTATAAACAACTTTGTATCATTGGATTTTGTTTTGCAATTGGAATCTCCTTTCCCAGCCCTTTAGGGAAGTGTTGCAAGTCTAAATATAGCTTCAAGGTTGCACCCATCCCTTCCCCCCGCCCACTTGACTCACTGTTGGCACGCACTCATTTCGAGGTCATAGCCCAACCCCAAAATTATAACGAAATAAATACAGTAATTTGTAAACATACTTCATTTGTATTTCATTTAGCCTGAAATCAGCCGTAAGGAAACGCATTCATATAATAAGTGATAAAAGAAAGATAAAATATATTTTTTATAACGGTTACGATTATAAGGAGTTTGTAAATAAACAGATAACATATATTTTTTCTTAATTTGTTATTGTAGGAAAAGAATAAATACAAATAAATAATTAACTACCTTATTACAGCTGTGCGGTACGAGATCTCGGGGTCTCGTACAATGACGTCATATTTACTTCCTGGGCTGGCTGAAGATTGTCAACAATGTACTGGTTCACATAAACAAACACTCAGCGCTCTCTCGCCTTTCTTTACGAGGTTATGATGCGCAAAAGATTACTGCGCAACGTAATCGGGGTCTCTTATCGCACCTGGGTAATCATAGCAGACGAGACCTATAGATCTCGTAACGCACCATTGGAATAATGCTGGAAAATATACAACGCAGTGAACGTGTTAAGCCTAGGCCTACTAAAACTTAAAAGCAGTCCAAAGGCTAGGCCTAGAAAAATCGTCTACAACACCCTTAAAAATATTGATATTTACTGACTTTTTCATTACTTAGCCTATTCAAATGTCTTAATAAATGTATGCCTACCTTCAGTCACACGCCCTGGTTTAGGCAAGGTGTCAGAAGTTCTGGTAGATCTAGATCTTGAATTATTATTAGTTTCACTCATAGCTCTCAGTTCGCACTGCATTGTCCCGATAATGTATTCTTCTGGAATTTGGATTCTAAAAACGTTGGTAACACATTTCTTAGGTAAGGAACTTTATTAAGACGCGCGTCACGAATTGGAATTAAGTTAATACGTGGTTAATACATTACAATAGCAAAACCAAATTATCGCCATGGCAACGCTGCCACGGCTTTCTTACTAACTTACTTGCCACATAGCTAAGGTTTCTGTGTAAACATTGCGTTTTAAGCCATTTAACCTAAGAGAAGTCTTTTTTTAACTATTGGCATTTTATAATAGTCACACTCAAGATAAAAGAAATTTAGGGAGTATGTAAATAAAAACGTACGACAAGCAGTGTGGGCGAGCACTCGGCAAAAGAGGACGAAACGAAGTCCGTCTGCTGACGTCCGAGGCGAGGCGAGGCCGCGAGCGCGAGGGACAACGAAGAACGAAGAACGACAACGGGAACGACACAAAAAAATAACAAAATCGTGGTGTGGTGACTCTGACTCGTGAGAGAGCAGCAGCAGCAGAGCTGAGCAGAGTCGAGATCGAGAGTCGAGCCAGACAGAGAGAAGAGAAGAGAGAACAGAGGATACAGGACAGAGGAGAGAAGAAAAGAAAACAGAACAGGATAGAGTAAAAAATTAGGTCGAGCGAGAGCCAAGAGGATGCTGCCATAGATTAAACATACGAGTCGAAGCACAGACTACTGTGGAAAAGTAGTGAGTGGCCGTGTCTCGGATCGCGGTCGTAGGCATTGAGGGGTGTGGATACTATACTATATCTATGGCATGACGACTCTCAAGTCTCGACCCCGGACCCTCTACGATTAAAAGCTACGGTGTTAAAATCACTGAGCTAAAATTATAACTGGAGGTAGCACTGCCATGGCAGAAGTCTGTCAAAAGCGTGTCGCTGACTTTAATAGGTTGGTATAGCAGCGAGTTTTTTCATCCAATAGCATGGCTTCTATAACTAGGTTTGTATAGCAGTGAGTTTTTTCATCCAATAACGTGGCTTCTTTATAACTCACACCTCACGCAAACGAGCCGGCTGGCGACACGCATCTTTGACATTCAGTTATACCTCCAGTTAGAATTATAGCTCAGTGGTTAAAATACAGGAAAAGCTTACGAGTCAACGATTAAAAGGGCATCACAAAGTCGGAGTAAATCTCTGACTCTGGTTAGTGTATGTATTTATTTATTTATTCCAACGGTTTCTCCATCAATAAAATTGTATCTAAAACTAGGCAGAGGCTGAACGTTCTAAATAAGTAAGTAATGCTAATTCAAACTAAGAACTATAACTAATTAATAAAGTAACAAATAAAAAGTTAATAGCAATAATAACAACTAATAAAGCTGACAATAAATACAGAATGGGACCTAAGAACTTGATACTTGGATTTGTCTCCTGGAATTTTATCTACGCCGAGGTCGTCAATTAGAATTTAATAACTCGTTTATTCAACCAAAGTAACAAATACAAATTTGCATTAGTCATGTCAAACAAAATGATCTCTGGTTATTTACTTATAGAGGTCGTCCAGTGATCGAAAACTCGACCAAAAATATGTAATGTGTAGGCCTAAAGTATAACAGTAAAATACCCCCGCCGCAGCAAACCTGCAGACTAAGCGAATTTCCATTTGACTGATTGGATTTACACTGAAATGTCTACTTAAAAATATAACATTTATTCCCGATTTAAATAGAATTAGTTTAACAAGTACTTAGGTTTGCTGCATCAGGGAGGGTAAAACTGTTTTTTTTTTGTAAAATGTTAGTAGGCTAGTTAGTAAGAAATAAAAACATTTTCCAAATTTGATCAAAATATGTTCATAAACAAGCAAATTACAACAGTTTACTTATTCTCCATAAGAATAAACATGGGAATTTTAAATTTACAATTTTTTTTAATTTTTCCGTAACCATTAGGCGCATAATAACGCTTCAATATACTAAATTATTTGTTTTTTAAGCTCTACAAAATGGTTTGGAAAGAAATTGCTAAATTTTATTTTTTTGGGTTAAAAATGGGAAAATCCTATTTTTACCCCAAAAAACCCGTTCCCATGGTCCGATCATGTGGATCGTGAACTCGTTCGAATAGACGTAGGTTTACACATTTGTACCAAATTTCATCAAAATCGGATCATTTTTGCTCGAGTTATCGTGCTAACGGACATATATATATATATATGAATTTTAACGGATGGTGTTTTTGGCCTCTAGGGACCTCAAAACGAAAAAAAATCGGTCCCGCGTCCAGGTCTTACCATGAGTACTACGGTAATAGCTTATTCCCTATATGGGAAATTCGCTAAAAGTAAAGGCAGCCTACAGATAAAAGTACTCAATCCAGTAAAAAATGGCAGCTGATTGAAATCTTTAGAATTTAGAATTAACTTGCAATTTTATATTCAATTGGCTGCCATATTTTACTGTGTTAAGATAGATACCTCTAGTTTGCGTTGTTAGTTATCTTTTATCACGAACTTCAAAATGAGGGGTCACTTGATGAGGCTTAACATTTAAACAATTTTAATTTCCCCCAAAATCCCCCATTTTGGGTTTGGGAACCAAGTAGCAATTAGGCTCAAAAAGTACATCATAACATGCCATAAAGGTGTGTAGAGTTTAGATATCCTAATGTGAGCCGTTACAAAATTTACTGGGGGTCTCCAGACTTGGAAAGCTGTAACTGTAAGTTAAATTTAACTTCTGAGAAATTTAATTGGCTGCTATTTTTTACTGGATTGAGATATAGACCTCTAGTTGCGTTGTTGGTTTTCTTGTACCAGCAGTACCTTCAAAATGAGGGGCCACTCGATGGGTCTTACCATTTGAAACTTTTGAGTTTCCCCCAAAATCCCCCCTATTGGTGATGTACACCAAGTGGCAGTTATGCCCAAAAAGTACTTCATAACATGATAACATCCCATACAGGTGTGCCGAGTTTAGTTTTTCTAGTATAGGCCGTTAAAAAATTAACAGGGGGTCTCCAGACTTTTTACTTACCCTGTATAAGTATAAAATATAATAAAGATATTAATAAGTTTATGGATTATTATTTTTGTTAATTGGCCATTTCTTTGCCACCCTGGCGTTAACCAACATTGCCCACAAAACACTGAAAAGAATCCGGAGGTTTACAACCTCCGTGACACTAGAGCCTATTAGATTTCTGAAAAAGAAAAACTGCCAGATTGTGATGTTGGATTAAAATGGAATGGTATTTTAAAGGAAGAGGCAATAGTTATTTTCCTACAGTTACCTAACAATGTACATGTTCTCTCACTGATTTGAGAAAGCAAAGTGGCCAATTCGCTCATCAGTGAGACAATGTTAACATTGTCTCACTCTAATTACTTTGTCCCTCTCCAGATTTGCAACGTGAAGGCACGAAATAGTGAGCGCGTGACATGCAGGCAACGTCGTATGCGCGCGAAATACGTTGGCAGCACTGGCTGAAAATCAGCTGGTCAGCTTTTGTAACTGTTGTATTTGTCACTTCATATTAAATGTTATATTAAAAGCTCACTTCTGTGTAAAAATAGGTTATGTTTCTTCACCAATTTATTTGTTTTATGGTAACTGTAGGAAAAGTATAATGTGCAACTCGAGTTCAAAGTACAATTGCCTCACTCGAGAAACCATTCCTCACTCGCCTACGGCTCATGAGTAAGGATTTCTCTCGAGTGAGTCAATTGCTCACTTTTCTCACATTAGTTCACACTTTAGTCTCACACTTTAGTTGCACATTATACTTTTCCTACAGTTACCATAAAACAAATAAATTGGTGAAGAAACATAACCTATTTTTACACAGAAGTGAGCTTTTAATATAACATTTAATATGAAGTGACAAATACAACAGTTACAACAGCTGACCAGCTGATTTTCAGCCAGTGCTGCCAACGTATTTCGCGCGCATACGACGTTGCCTGCATGTTACGCGCTCACTATTTCGTGCCTTCACATTGCAAATCTGGAGTGAGACAAAGTAATTAGAGTGAGACAATGTTAACATTGTCTCACTGATGAGCGAATTGGCCACTTTGCTTTCTAGTGCTTTCTATTGGACAATTTGTGCAACTAGTGAGAAAAGTGAGCAATTGACTCACTCGAGAGAAATCCTTACTCATGAGCCGTAGGCGAGTGAGGAATGGTTTCTCGAGTGAGGCAATTGTACTTTGAACTCGAGTTGCACATTATACTTTTCCTACAGTTACCATAAAACAAATAAATTGGTGAAGAAACATAACCTATTTTTACACAGAAGTGAGCTTTTAATATAACATTTAATATGAAGTGACAAATACAACAGTTACAAAAGCTGACCAGCTGATTTTCAGCCAGTGCTGCCAACGTATTTCGCGCGCATACGACGTTGCTTGCATGTTACGCGCTATTTCACTGTCACTATATGTCATGTCACTATTTCGTGTCTTCATGTTGAACATCTGGAGTGAGACAAAGTAATTAGAGTGAGACAATGTTAACATTGTCTCACTGATGAGCGAATTGGCCACTTTGCTTTCTCAAATCAGTGAGAGAACATGTACATTGTTAGGTAACTATAGGAAAAGTATACTATTTCCACTTACACTTACCAAGGTTTATAGTGTGATTGGTAATAATTTGATTCTTGGAAATCACTGAGCTATAATTCTAACTGAAGGTAGCACTGAATGTCAAAGATGCGTGTCGCCAGCCGCCATGTTTGCGTGAGGTGTGAGTTATAAGAAGCCATGTTATTGGTTAAAAAAACTCACTGCTATACCAACCTAACAAAATCAGCGACACGCTCTTGACAGACTTCTGCCATGGCAGTGCTACCTCCAGATATAATTTTAGCTCAGTGTTGGAAATGGCATTAATTTTTTGTTTACTTTGCTTTGCACATTATTCACAATTTCCATATACATCCAAACAAATAAATTTCTGCTAGATAAACTACAATGTTCGATAGTATGAAACACGGTGTAATGTAATTATGATAAATTACTGGCTTGTAAAACTATTCAATGTGCTTACGTTCTTTTCACAATCAGCTGTTTGCTGTTTGCTACCAGAACCAGACGTCACAATAATTCAGTCGACAAAGACAACGACATTGCAGAAGCGACAACTACTCATCATCTGTTTATGTTTTCTTTCTTCACTATCAGTGTACGACTTTATCGAACGAGAGATCCCTAGAAGATAAATTATTATGTGTCTATTGTTTGCATTTTAGTGAAAATTTTATCCAGAACTTTGAGCACCGCAGAATGCCAAATATCCTTAATGGAGTATTAGCATTGCTGCCAAGTAAAATTGATAAATTCTTTTGACACAATTAATTTTTAGTTTCCTGACCCTGAGTATATGCTGGTGAGTGTTTTGCTAAGGTTATGTATAGTGTTATTGTTTGTAATGCCTTTGTTGCAAGCTAGGTCATGAACTCCTTATCTTATTGTGAGCTATTTTGTACTTTTATTTAAACTTGAAGTAACACCAGTGTCACTATATAAACATATACCTTAATAGGTAAGTAGTTGGGATAGCTTGATAGCTACATCAGTTATTTTGACACTCAAGGTAGGGTAAATAACATGGAACTTCTCAGGAGCAAATCTCTTGGAGTAGGCCTAATGTAAAAATTTAACATGATTCCATCAAACCACTATGACTATAATTTATTCCACTGGAAAGTATTTAACTTTACCGTGTATTGGGTTAATTTGAGACTTTTCTATTGTCAATACGTTAGGAAAAAATTAGATAAGTGTAGTTTATTTTGTAAATAATACACTCACGACTTCAGAATAGCGATTAAATAATTCCAAATGCATAGCCCTTCATTTTTTCAAGTTTTTAGGGATTGCCTGTTTCAACCGACCTAGCTGTGGTCCTGTAAGGGTCGGTAAATAGGAGGTCACTGTAGTCCTTTTAACTCTAAACAAAATGTTACAACCCTATCTGCTGTAAACATTGTGGTTCAAAATTTATTGCATCTTTTGCGATTTTCCCCATTAAAGTCATAAGTTAGACTCCCATCGCTTAATGTACCCATGATAAGAGTTAGCTGACAGGCTAATGGCAGAAGGTATGTGTCATATTGCTGATACCGTTTTTAACTTTTTGTTAAATCAAAACCTCCACTAAAGTCTTCCATCCTTGGAGGTTGAAAATATTTAAATATGTCTTTTAACAAATAGCCTACAGTATACTTACTGTAGGTCTACATCAAGCCCACTTGGAATATTTTCACCGATCATAAATTTGATTATTAATTAGGGCCTAGTATCTAAATTAGGCTACTTGTTATGATCCGTTTTAGACAAAAAAAGTTATAAGTGTTTGAAAAACTAAATATAAAATTACAAATTTAAGGTTTATTGAGCTGCTCTGATGGTTGTTTGGGCAAGTACTAGTTCTAGCAGCGACTAACACTTTAAAGGGAGGAAGGAGTGTACAGATCTAACAGCTGTTTACTTGCAATGAAAAACAAACAAAACGACTAGGCCTACCTACACAACACATGTAAACAAAAATTTAGTAACTTAACGACTTGCAACCGTAGTTTAATTATTGCTTAACTAATAGGCTATATTATCAAAGAAACTGTTCTAACCAAACCTAACTTCTGTAACATTTCAAAATCCCATTTGTTAACAAGAAAGGGATGTGAGAAAGATAGGTTGGGCTTTATGTGGTTTCTGACTGTATTAACTATTAAGTCCTTTGAAGGTACACAAGTAAGATTAGGTAAGTTAAAGTTAAGGTTGTAATTAAATAGAGTCGGGACCACGTAAGTTTGCAGTTGATGACAGCCAATCACAAGACGAGGCTAGTGCGACGTTGCCACATCGCCTGTTGACAACACTAATAAAAATATACTAAGCAATATTTTCAAATCAGCTGGTATTATTAGATTTAGCAACACCGCACGGTTCTCATTGGTTCATTCAAACCCATATGGTAAATAGGCTCCTCCCTCAACTGCAAACGTGGTCCCGACTCTAATGAGTTATTAATTTATATTATTTAGGCCACTTGGTACCTCCAGACTGTTTTTGCAAACTGAAATAGCGGGTTGAACCCAATAATACAGGTATTTTTTAAATGTGTGTTGTGCTGTTAGACCCTGAGATGATGCCTACAATGGAGGCCAGTTACCAACAGTTTGGAGGAGGGGATCCTGATGACTCTGAAGAGACGCCGCAGGAGTTCGGGGCGATGATCCACATCGTCCCGGAGAGTGGCAAATGTAGGCCTACATCAATACCGTTCTTATAAGCTATTTCATTATTTCTTTTTCTTGGTTTTATTTGTTTTGTACACTTTAGGTATTAGGTACCTATTTATTTAAATTCTTGATTATCATATTAACAAAGAAATGTAGTTTTGTTGTCTTTCTTTTCTTTTTATTGAATTTTTCATGTAGGGAATTAGCTATTAGAGTAGGTTTCGTCTCATAGTAAGACCTAAACCTGAGACCAATTTTCTTTTTTTATTGGAAATTACACAAAATATAGTTTAAGCACTTTATTTTGTTGTGATGTCGTGCTTAAAATGTAGTCTAGTTAGGTAAGGATCTTATGACTGTCTGTAATTGGTTAATCAAGAAACACCACCTAACCCCCTTTTTAGTGGTTTTTAGATACATGTAAAACCATATGCTCTAGTATTAAAAATAGTTGTTTGAGATGTATGTTTGTTGATGTTTGGAATCATTTTGGCTATTGATAAATCTCCCTAATTACTTTCTCCAGATCTGATGAAATATTGTAGTTTTCCATAATGGTTGATCAAACAATTATTAATTATAAATTAAGTCGGGGCGTCGCTGGCATACTAGTTTCAGCATGGGATACTGTCCTGCAAGTCCAAATACAAATCCCTCTATTGAATGACTTTAACTACGTGATAATGCCGTGACCCTGGAGCTGTAGGTCCAGCTGGGAGGTAAAAAAAGATAATTCCCTTAGGCTGGCAAAACTGTCTGTGCAATGTTTTAATTTCGGTCTATAATAATAATATTTAACCAGTAATAAAGTTTTAACATAATTTGAATGATATTTGTCCAGCTGCTAGATGGAATCATGTGGAGGACTTAGACTCGTTCTTCACCCGAAACTACCTGTACCATCAGAAACACGGCTTCAAGTGTATGATGCTACAAGAAGTCCTGGAACTTGTACAGTTTATATTCGTCGTCGTCTTCTCGACGTTCCTTTTTAACTGTGTTGACTATCAAATACTCTTTAGGTATGTTTTAGCCATTGGATTAAAAAATGCTAATTCATGCATAGATCAGAACACTATATTTCTTATGTTGATTGATGAAAAAGTAATTTAATAACAGTAAAACCTCACTAACTCGGAAAGCTGTGTAACTCGACAGCTTACAGTGCGCTCGTCTAGCTGGCATTGTCTTACTATTGTATTTGACTTTTCAAGGATGGCTGAAGATGTTTATAAGATTTGTTGAACATTGTTTACTCAATTTGTAAAAAATATACTACAAGTACCGTAGTTAATATGTGGAAAATTAGTCTGTTATGTATTCATTTATTAAAACCCATTACAGTTTCAATGTTTTGGATACAATTTTCGTTTGGAGGCATTTATAGTAAATAATTACCAACTTGACAACCCTCAATCTCAAGGGGAGCGAGCTGGCATAGTGGTTAAAGCGCGGGATCTCAGTCCCTGAGGTCTCGACCCTCAGGAAAAAAAACCCTCAATCTCGACAACCTCTTGGTCCACAAATAGTGGAGTTAGGGAGGTTTTACTAAAGTAATAATTTTTTTAGAATCTAGTCTATAGCATACAGTAGAATCCCTCTCTCCGTTTTGTTACAACTTTGTATCATTCACACATTTTTTTCACACAAGTGCTTCATTGCATTATCTGAGACAGCCTGTTCATCCACCGCTGTTCAGTTCACAGTTTTACTTAATCTAAACATTGGCTTCATTCTGCTATCACTGTGTGTTACTTTGCATTTTTACACAATTTGAAACTTGAAAGGCATTTTTGAAAATGTATAGTCTTATAAAATTTGTATTTTGTTCAGTCCATAACTTATTTCTAAAGTAGAGTTTGTGGAATATGCCCACCTGAATTAAATGGTAGATTGCAGTTGAAGAATTAGGTGTGATACGCTTACTCATCCTTAATGTGAGTCCACAGAAAATTGATTAATGAGTAGGCCTACTAGTATTTTTATGTTAATTAGACAAGGAAAAAATTCAGTATAAATTGGCATAGTTAGCCTAATCAATAATCTCTTTGGTTCAAATATCTAGTCAAATTTGATACAGTTTTGTAAATTATTCAAAAGCTGTTTTTTGCAGGAATAAGGAAAGCAACCAGACGGTGAACCAGCGCAAGATCGCACTGAGTGATGCGATCGTCCCTAGCGACCAATGTCTGGCCAACGTCAGCATGATGTGGTGGCTGGTGGTGTTTGTATCTGTAGTGTTCTGGCTTATCCGAGCCATCAGAGTGGTCTACCACCTGTTCCAGTACTGGAACATCAAGGCGTTCTTCAACTCCGCACTCAGGATACAAGATGTAAGAATATGTTGTTTGAAGGATTAATGCAGACATTTTCCTTCACTGAAGGAAATCGGTAAAAGTATCATCAGTACATTTTGTGGCCGTTTGTAGGGATGGGAAAGAACTTAAAACATTGACAAATAATACCCTAGATGAACGCTGGGAAGCCTAATACAATACCTAAAACTATGATAATTGATTTATTGATGATAATTGTAACTATGAATTTGTATAGGAAAATAACCAAAATTGTAATATCTTTTGAACCATTATATATACAGCATTGGGGTTGTGCCATTTTGTTCAGAATTAAAAAGACCATTACTGTACATTAAATTTCATTCATAATTAATTTTTATAGCAGGTTATGTGAAAATCAGATATTTCTGTTATTTTAGAGTTTAGGGGAAAAATCACTGTCAAAAGTAAAACATTAAAAAAACGCCTTGACATACCATCCTTGTACACATTACCCACACACCAAATTTCATCAAAATCGAACCACAGGTATAGTTTGTAGCTCTGTACATACAGTGCACTTTATATACTACAGTACATACAGTATATCACTTTGAAAATGTTAGCGGCAGGGGGCGCTAGTTTCTTAGTTTTGCCAAGGGCGCAGCCTTACTTGTTATGATACTGTCCAATCTTTATAGTACGAGTGAAGCAGTACTTGTAAGTTATGGCTTAGTAACCTGGATTTAGATCCAAGTGGGTGATTTTATCCAGATTTCATTTTAAGATAAGTTAATGAAAGCAAAATTGCACTAAAGGCATTTTTACAAGGAACTTATCAATTTGGTGTTCGCTAAAATATCCTTATGATGAATTTGTAATATTAAGTACTAGTTTTTGTTGCAGTAAAGTTGGGGTTGGACGGGATTGTACTTTAAGTTGCACCATGGCAAACTAGTTTTTTTTTTAAATCTTGAGTAAAAATTGTAGCAAATGGCGATAGCCTTATTACAAATAAATACAATTTTCAGCCTTTATGTCACTATTTTATGTCACCATGAATGTAATCCTTGACAGCGGCACTATCGCTATTATCTTCCTTGACCGAGTAGACATATTTAGGTCTCACTCAAAATCCTAAATTGTGATCATGTCCCGTGATTGCAGAGACTCACAATCACAAAAAAATTTCATTTGAAAAGAATCTCGTCCCAAGAAAATCCCCAATTATATGTTAGCCTATATTTTCCACGAAATTCCTGAAATTTTGAGATCGTCCATCCCTAAATATAATAAAGATATGAACATGTTGTGTAGGCTGAGTTAGACAACGTGACGTGGCATGAGGTACAGAAGAGGATCAGAGAAGTGCAGCTGGAGCAGCAGATGTGCATACACAAGAAGGATCTCACTGAGCTGGATATCTACCATAGAATACTCAGGTACCCACCTCCACTAGCCCTGATCAGATGTTACTGGTTCACTAGCAGCTAATATTATTGGCTAATGCTTGCCAAGCCTAGTACCTGAGAAAAGTATGTAGCTTTTTGATGATTTGAAACTGGACCCAGCTATCTTTGATGATTGGGCTTATAATAAATGGTCCTGACGACTAAGCTGGTCTTAGTCAGTAACAAAGCTACACAAGGCATCTCATTCCATCTACACTCATCTTTCACTCATATTTGGATTAAAATATTCACATATTAGGCATCCCCATCTCAAATCATAATGATAATAGTCTCCTCTAATACAGACGAGACAAACGTGGCAACACCGCTGTCCCGTCAAACCGAAACAGCTGATACACTTATTTATAACGGATATAGGAAAAGTTTATGTTTACACGTTTGTTATTTCTGTTATTGCCATGGTAATAGGCATGACATTGCCACACACCTACGCCGCGGCCTTGTGTAAGAGAAGGCTATGCCTGATGTAGCTAACACACTTTGCTAGTGTGTATGTTTATTGTACTGTGTGCGGTAAAATGATGTCGTCTGTTGGGATGAGTAGCCTAGAAATGTTTAGCTTTCAAACGTTCTAGAGCAATCACACTGAATCACTACTTCAAGTGGTCCTATAAATAAAACCTTTGACAACAACATTTTAGCCCCTTAGACAGAAATAAAATATTAGTTAGAAACAGAAACCAATGTTAATAATTATTATAAACTGACAAATAATGGTTAAAACATACCTCGTCAGACAATCCTTAACATGTAGGTAGTGAAGATGCTACATATGTTTCGGCGGCTATTTAAGCATCTCCGCCATCGTCAGGCAAACAAAAGGATCCACTTGATGTGTCGTCAGAATAAATAAAATACACATTTTACACAAAACATAAAAAACTATAGTGATAGGCCTATCAACTACACGCACTGCCGTGGACATGGCAGGAAGCAGACTGAATGTTATGTTGTGATGTGACTTGACTCTGGGCTGTCGTCTGCGTTATCAACAGCTGTTACTGGTCTATTGTAGTGACGGAGGAGAGTATTGAAAATATAATGAGATTCATAGTTGAGTTTTTCATTCAAAATTTGTGTGCTGTCCTTGGTTTTTATTTCTTTGTATATTTCAAATTCTTCCAGAGTATTTAATAGATTTCCTTTCCCGCAGTAATGAAGGATATCAAGACCGTCATTTATATCTAGCATATCATGTTTATTGTCGATGATGTGTTGGGCGAATTTAGATTTTTGCAATTTTAGTTTAGGAGCCGGTCGGTGTTCTTTATACCTGGTTTTAAAAGGCCTCCCACTTTGTCCTACATATGTGCTCGGGCAATCGGCGCATTTTATGCGATATACACCTGTCTTCTCATACTTATCACCTTGTGGGTGTTTACCTTTAGATATATTTCGTAGCCGATTGGAAGTTTTAAAAGCCAGTTTGACACCACGTTTACTCAGATCTTTTTTCAGGTAGTTATTTATTTGGTGGTTATATTAGACACAGCAATATGTTATTCTATTATTATCAATATTGGTTGGTTGGTGACATGTATTGTTCTTTTTCTTTATAATGATTTTGTCCACCATATCTGATTTGTATCCATTGGCCACGGCAATGTGCTTTATTATGTTCAGTTCCTTTGTGTAATTTTCTGGACTTAGTGGGACATTTAGAAGTCTGTAGAACAATACATGTCACCAACCAACCAATATTGATAATAATAGAATAACATATTGCTGTGTCGAATATAACCACCAAATAAATAACTACCTGAAAAAAGATCTGAGTAAACGTGGTATCAAACTGGCTTTTAAAACTTCCAATCGGCTACGAAATATATCTAAAGGTAAACACCCACAAGGTGATAAGTATGAGAAGACAGGTGTATATCGCATAAAATGCGCCGATTGCCCGAGCACATATGTAGGACAAAGTGGGAGGCCTTTTAAAACCAGGTATAAAGAACACCGACCGGCCCCTAAACTAAAATTGCAAAAATCTAAATTCGCCCAACACATCATCGACAATAAACATGATATGCTAGATATAAATGACGGTCTTGATATCCTTCATTACTGCGGGAAAGGAAATCTATTAAATACTCTGGAAGAATTTGAAATATACAAAGAAATAAAAACCAAGGACAGCACACAAATTTTGAATGAAAAACTCAACTATGAATCTCATTATATTTTCAATACTCTCCTCCGTCACTACAATAGACCAGTAACAGCTGTTGATAACGCAGACGACAGCCCAGAGTCAAGTCACATCACAACATAACATTCAGTCTGCTTCCTGCCATGTCCACGGCAGTGCGTGTAGTTGATAGGCCTATCACTATAGTTTTTTATGTTTTGTGTAAAATGTGTATTTTATTTATTCTGACGACACATCAAGTGGATCCTTTTGTTTGCCTGACGATGGCGGAGATGCTTAAATAGCCGCCGAAACATATGTAGCAACTTCACTACCTACATGTTAAGGATTGTCTGACGAGGTATGTTTTAACCATTATTTGTCATATTTCGCAATCCTGGGGCTATTAAAATGAATTTTATTATAAACTGTTGTTTTGCAGCAACAGTTTAAGTTCACTTTACAACTTTTCAATCTTATTTCAAAAGGACGTTTGAGCTAGTAGCACTTATGCAAAGTTACTTTACCTTACATGTGGTTGATAATATTTTTCTCCAGGTATTGATTGTGTTAAATTGTGATGTTTTGATGACAGATTCAAGAACTACGTGGTGGCGATGGTAAACAAGTCATTGCTTCCCGTCAGGTTCAATCTTCCGCTCCTGGGTTCTGTCATCTACTTCACCCATGGGCTCAAATTCAATATAAATTTCCTGTTGTTTTGTAAGTAATCCAAAAAGTGTCTGACGTACGATGATAAATCATTTACAAAGAAAACACCTCAATATAATATTCTTATTTCTCTGCCAAAAGACTGTTTTCTTATATAGATAAAATATTATATAGTCAGATGTTTTTAAATTATTTTTGGTTAAAAACAAATAAGAGTTTTAGTTGTTGTTTGATGTATGAAAAATAAAGAACATGGTTTGGTTTTTGTTCACATTTATTAATGTTATTTCTGATATTTTATATTAACTGATCATCCGTGATATCGAGTAGATTGAATCACGCATATTGACGATTTCATGTCTTGCATTAGAATTACAAAGGTTAGTTTATTGAATTGAATCCTTTCCTGTAATCCTTTCAATGAAAAATCAAAGTGGTGAAGAAAATGCCTACAGGGATAAAATTAAATGAATTATGGTACTGGCTCACCCTTTCTTTTGCTTGGTGTGTCTTAGGCACTGGCTTGAGGACAGGGGAATTGAGGTTAAAAGACCAACATGTCAATAAAAGTACAAAAAATATATTGAACATAAAGGTTTTTTAATATAAGCACACACACACAAGCAATAGACCGTATCAAAATAAAAGGAATATCCCTATGTGTTTAAGAACCTTTTTCATAATGTAATGGAACTTCTTTACCCAGTAACGAACCCTAAAATCTCTTGTAAATGTCATTTGAGAAGGGTTTCATTGGCCACTGATTATTTTGTTTATGTATTTAAATTGGTAGACCATATTTAAACCAGAAAACAATTATTTATAATTTAAAAAAGCCTGCACTCGAGAACATCAAGATTAATACTACCATAGACAAACAGAATAAATATAGACCGTCAGCTGTGCTGCGGTTAGCATAAGAACCACTAGGATTGCTGTGTAGTAACGGCGCACACCACCGCTGCCGTGTCTGCTTGTAGCATACGGCGAGGAGCTGTCAACGGCAGCGAACCTAACACAGAGCGGCACATCGCGGAACCTTCCTTTGACAGTCTATATTTATTCTATTAGTCTATGGAACTACTTATAGTTTCTTAAAAACATAATATAAATACTGAAAAAATTTCTCTAGCAATACAATCACACAAAAAAGTGAACTAATTAAAACCAAAGTGTAACATTTGCACAAAAGGCACCAAACAGCAAACAAGCAAACGGAAGAACAGATTCCACTTCTAATGTTGATGATGATACTCTGCAGGGGGGCCGTGGTCGCCGTTCCAAAACAACTGGCACCTGAAGGACGACTACAAGAAGGCCAACAAGCGACAGGAGCTGGCCCAGCAGCTGTCCAAGCACATAGTGTACGTAGCCGCAGCCAACCTGGCGCTGTGTCCGCTAATCCTGCTGTGGCAGATACTCTACTCATTCTTCAACTACACTGAGGTCAGTTGAATGACACTCTGGTGGTGCTCGATGTTCAGTTGTAATAGAGATATTGTAGTCTCAACTATCCAAACCTTCCGTTTTATCCCACTTCGCTGTGGACAATCAAGTACAAATAACATTTTTGTTTGGGATGATTGTACACCGTAGCGAGTACATCAAGACAATTCCTAATGACCACCACTGTAGCTATTTGGAAGATACGAGTCAGGCTTTATGCACTTGACTGTACTTTCTGATTGTTTAGCACACCGCACATTTTGTAAACTTTGCACACCTGCTCACTCTTGCTACCCCTCATCATAGTTATGGCTTGAACTGATGCCTGTGGCTGTGTATAGCTTTACATTTTGCAGATTCACTGTTTTGTATTTTGCAAATATTATGTTATGTGATGTAGACTTTCTGTCAAGTATTTATTAGTTTAAAGTCAGCCAAGAATCATTAATAATTTCAGAATTAGTTTTGAATTGTTTTGAAAACAAAGAAAAGTTTTTAATTTGATTAATTTAAACATGCTTCCACAATGTTTTTTCTTTTATTTTCCTTTATTTTCAGCCTTTTTGTTTACTTGAACTTGCCTATACTCTTTTTAAGTTATATAATTTTGAGACTCTAGGCTACTATACAATGTAATTTTTATTTCCTATTCATAATAGTTTAAATACAATGGTTATACCTTTTATGCTAAAATCCAATTATTCACAAGACATAGTGATCAGGACGCTTTATTACAGTCATGTTGTTATACTGGAGTGGTCAGTAGCAGAAGGGTTTGCAAGACCTACGGGGCCTGCAGGGGTCACATGGCGGGGGGCACATGTTGCAGGGGTCACACGGCGGGGGGCAAGGCCTGCAATAGTTACACTCTGCTCTTCGGTCCATCCAGTCAGTGACGGCTATCACACTTCCGCAGCACACCACAAACATGAGTCCTCCGAGCATTACACAGATCACAGGCAACATTCTGCAGGTTGCGCCGATGAGTGATCAAAGAATCTGTTCAACGTCTTCACTTGACGCAAATTCAAATTTACCTTTCTTGACTCCTTAAAGTACTTGCGTAAAATATAGCTTTATCCTCTGTTTCAACGACGTCTACATGAGATGGCAAATCCTCCTGAGAAAACGATGATGATAATTCCTGCTATGACCAAAACTATGAGCAAGAACGTCCATACCGAGAATTTGGAAATTGCTTTTAGTGTTTTGTTCAAATGAATGGTTTATATCCATGGTAACGTTCTAGTTTTAGGAAATCAGCTATTTTAATTTAAGAGATGTGGGGTGTCAATATTTTCTCTAGTTAGTGATAGCTTATGCAGTTGAGGCAAAATTAGCTTAGTAATAAATAGGAAAATAATATACTTATATTTTTCTCCTATTCACTTGTAGTGTGAATGAACTTTTGTTTATTTTAACGTTGATTAAAAATACTGAGCCAGTTGATCTTGTGGTTTTGTCTGTTGTAACACCATGAGTACATAACACTATAAACAATTTCAAGTAGAGAGAGGAAAGTTTCAATTAAACATTTTCTATTTTATATTTAAGCATATTTATTTTAGTGTATCACTTAAAACTAAAATTATTATGTCAAGATTTGTTATTGATATTAATCGTTACCCATGCTCTTACTTCCATGTTCTCTTACACCCCAAAAGGTATTAAATATAGGGTATATCCATATAGGGAGTACTTTCTTAATTGGCTTTTAATATTCTCATGATCAGCCAGCCTTTTTCATCTTTTTACCTCTTCTTTGGCGTCCTGGGGATTTGGTGTTTCCTTTCATATTTGTCTTATGTCAGTTTCATATCCCTCCTTTATTATAACCACTCCAACAACTGCTTTTCACTTCAGCAACCACCTCTTTTGCTTGAAATAGATCACTTGGTTCTCGTGATTCTTCACTCTCCATTTTCTTCTGTTAGTCAAAACATTTCCCTGACTACGTTGTTATAAAATGTTATTAGGTATTCCTGATCACCTATGTATACAGTCAGTGTTTTGGATCCATATAGGTAGATTTGGTACTTGGTCTTTTGTTGTTTATCGTCACATATTGTCCCAACTAGCAAAGTTAAGGGTGACCGAATGAAATTTTTCCTTGAACATAAGAAAGATTTTGATTTTGAACCATCACGTGTGTAGGCCTACATAAAATAAACATGGTTTCAGTAAAATCATCTCTTACTAGGTTCTTGTTAAAAAGATGATTCAATATATTTTCTCGGTGACTCAGGCCATCAAGAGGGAGCCTGGCAGTCTGGGGTCTCGCTGCTGGTCTCAGTACGGACGACTTTACCTGCGCCACTTCAACGAGCTCGACCATGAACTCAATGCCCGACTCAACCGAGCGTATCGACCAGCGTCCAAGTACATGAACATATTCACATCTCCTGGCATGACGATTATTGCTAAGTAAGCGTTTTAACAGGTATATAATGTTATCTGCTACTTTTGTTTACCCGAGTTGTCTTGGTCTATCCAGTAGTCTTGCATCCAATACATCGATTACAGAATTTTCAATTAACAATGATTGAACCGTCACAAGGTATGTCAGTTTAAAACAAAGTTTTTCTAAGCTTAAGCCCAATTAAGTTTTATTCAAACATGAATTTTATGTTGGGGAATTTCGTTGTTTACTTTTTGTTTATTGTTATTTAATCAATTTAATTTTTTTAAAGTTTGTATATCAATCTATTTGTAAACTCTCTCGTGCCTTATCTTGGCTTAAACCAATGAGTAAAACCCTAGTTGTAAATCGAAATATATAGTAATAGAGAAACAGTTGAGCATATTCAATCTTAGCCAACATGAAACACAAATGAAAACAGGTTTGATTCTTGGAGTACTGTTCCAGATATTGTTTTTTATCGACACAATTGATTGCTCGTCCAAATTTTGAATGAAACTACGTAAAGTTCCCAACTACTTTGTAAAATAACGTCAATCAACAACTTGGTTTGCAGGAACATCGTGTTTGTGGCGGGGGCAGTCCTGGCCGTGCTGTTGGCTTTGACTGTGTATGATGAGGATGTGTTGACTGTGGAACACGTTCTGACTGCCATCACTGTACTAGGAGCCATCATAGCTACGTTCAGGTAACTAACCTGGAAATCTCTGGTTTAGTAATTTATAACATCTCATCACTTTTAGATGAGAAACTGATACATAAATATTTGGAATTGTTGTGACTGTCAATATGTGTGTATGTGTTTGATGGCAACTCTTCGTAACCCCAGTGAAGAATACGATTATTCTTGTGGCCATCAACTTTTTTAAAGAGGTTGTAAGCTTCTTTTAACCTTGAATTTGGATGTCCACATGGGCCTCAAAGGACTGTGCGGGAACATATTAAGGAATGCACAACATATTAACAACATTAAGGGTGAGCTTTTCTGTATGAAAATTAACTGTACTAATCAGTTTTAAGTGCCAGCACCGAGACATCACTGCCCTGGTTTTTCGGATTGTCACAACTCCTGGCAGAACCAGCAAGTCATCAGTATTTCATGTAATCCCATGTGTAACATGAAAATAAATGTTTAGGTACTTAACATTTTAAACTCTTAATTATTATGTTTTCAAGCTAAACTGATTTAATTTGTACACACATCTTAATGTTAATTGTTTAAGTGTATCAATGCCAGAGGGGTTGTTTAAGTGCTTGAAAAGTGAACAGTGCAAACTCATGTTGATTCTGTACCCAGGCTTAGCAAAACAAAGGGCCAAAAAATAGCTACTGTTTACTCTAACAGAAGCATTTTATGACCCTGTTTCATTGAGTTAATTCTTCCTGTTGAAGTTTCTTCAGCTCTATTGAACATCAACAGCTATCTGTTTTTTACAAGAAGACATCCCATATATATGGATCAGCTGTCGCTAATTTTTTACTAAAAAAGAATGTAGTTTTGTGAGCTAGTCACAGATTGTGCTAGTGTCTAAAACTCTATTTTGTACCTTATTTTCGTTACTGACATCGTTGCTGGGTCACAACAGTTGCTAGCTCATAATAAGTCATTCCATCAGTTTGACTTGGTAAAAACCATCATGTAATCGGCAGAAATCAGTAATTTAGATCAGCGCACATCAACTAAGACAAATTTTACTAACAACCTGACTACAACTTTAACATGGGGATGGAATGTCTAGTTGTTGTACTATACACTAAACATTTGGATTGTGTTTATCATTTTTCCTTTGTAACTTAACTCCGGTGGTCTCTCCTTTAGAGTGTTCATTCCTGATGAGAACCTGGTCTGGTGTCCGGAGAACCTGATGACTGCCGTGTTAGCGCAGGTACACTATCTCCCGGATAACTGGCGTGGTAACGCACACACCTCACGCGTACGCAACGAGCTCTCTCAACTATTCCAGTACAAAGCTGTGAGTGTGCATGTTTTCTTTATTTTTTTTCTAGATGGGTTTTATTACCTAATAGGCTAGTTGGATATTAATAGTCAGTGAAACTGTTCTGGATTTTTTTTTTCATTCAAGTGTAAAACTTTTGATTTTTTATTATATCTGTTAAAAGAGTTGTGTTAATGTTAATAGGTTTAACTGGTGATCTTCTTTAAAACAAATTTAAACATTTATTTTGTTCATCTGATATGATAAAAATTAGATATGCTGAATCCAACCATAGATAAAACATACTCCCTTAGTAGATTTCTCATCCTTATGGAACAGCTGAAGACAATTTTATTGTTAGTTCTGTACGGTTTTCTGTAGAGGTTGTGTTTTGTTTACAATTTGTTTCCCGTTATTACAGCCATTTAAAACCTCGTTTAACCAAATAATACGATCTAATCATAAACAATAACCTGTCCCCTAGTTATATAACCAAACAGTAAAGCACAAATCAAGAAATTAACCCTAAAATAATATAAACAAAGTTTCGTCGACACTAGCGCCCATGTGTCACGTACATGAACTAGACACGAAAAACGTGCTTCAAAATTTACAATGGGATGAGAAGTCTACTTGTGTTGGTTAGTCTATGATCCAACTTACCAACTATATTTAAAGTTGTTGAGGTCATTTTTCTGACTAGAAGTAAAATTTTAACAATACAGTTTTTTTTTATTTAGTCATGTGGGGATTATTATTTACACAGGTTTTAATTGAGTTGGAGTGGCCTTCGTCACCTGACATGTGGGCTTTTTATGCGCCCCGTTTAATCCCAGAGCTCATCAATCTTGTGTACGGAATGAACTGCAGCATTCCGTCCACCAGCCCTTAGATTTTTCCTAGGGGGGTGACAATAATTTTGAGACATTCCAAATATCTAGGTATCAGGGTTTAAGTTGGCAATGGTCAGCTGTATTTTGAGAATTTAACTATGATCACGTATCAGCCCCAGGATTGAATTGTTCTCTGTCGCCTAGACGTATCTGCTGGGGGAGTTGCTGTCGCCTATGGTGACGCCCCTAGTGCTGTTCTTCTACTTGCGGCCGCGAGCCCTCGACATCGTAGACTTCTTCCGCAACTTCACTGTGGAGGTAGTGGGCGTCGGGGACGTCTGCTCGTTTGCACAGATGGATGTCCGTCGTCATGGCAACCCTGCGTGGCAGACCAACATGCCTCCTGCCCCACCCACTACCACCACAGCTACGACACAGCTGCCTAACCAGTACAACCAGGTCCGTATTGTGTTAAAGAAACAACTAATAAGCTGAAAATTTGACAGAGTTACTATCACTTTCTCTCCTAGTTATTTAAAATACTGAATTGTTCAGTTTGAAACTCAATTTTAAGACTTTATTAAATCTTGTTGTAGTTCTTTTACAAGCAGCCTTAAGAACTACATTCTTAAAAAAATATATTGCAAGTGAGTTTTTAATATTGTTAAATGAAGGTATCTTGATGACGTCTTATATCTTAATGACTGCAATAAGATACCTATCTGTTTTGTAGCTTTGCTATCATTGGAAAGGTAATAAGGCAATAAAGTGATATTTATTCCATACATAAACCGTTGTGTTTGTATGCAGGCGGAGGACGGGAAGACGGAGTTGTCCCTGATCCACTTCACAGTGACCAACCCGGAGTGGAGACCACCCACAGACGCCGAGACATTTGTCTCTGCTCTCCGCACACAGGCTCGGCGCGAGGCCGTGGCGCCGGGCACTCAGCTGCTCATCAACGACAACTCTCTGTCGTCCCTGGGTGTCGGGGTGAGTGGTGTGATTAGTATTACTGATTCAACATAAAGTAGAAATTCTCAAACTAATTCTAAGGAAAATGAGGTTTGCCAATCCTTGTGATTCTATTTTAAAATTTAAACATAACTGTTTGTAAACATAACTTAAATTAGGTTGGAATAAAAAAATACAATGTGAGTTGCCAGCTAAATGATATCTCTTGGCAAAACAAAAAAATCATCAGCCACTTTTCATTACCTTAGAACAACTAGAGAAAATTAAAACTTTTTTAGTTTTTACAAGCCATAAAAAATCTAGTTTCAGTAAAATTCAAGACTGGGTTTTTACAACCAGTCCATAAGTAATATTAAGAGATAAATGAATTAACTTGTTCGTTTTATATTGATCACATAATTTATTTGTACAAATATCATTCAAGATTTTTCCTAAGAGTTCACTAAATAATTTTCTTTTGTAATTTATCTGTTTGAGATTTTTGTCATAGCAGAGTGTAGCCAGCAGGTTCCGTTGCTTTTCAACCAAATTGTATCTTTCATTGGGTGAAGTTAGAGAGAAATTCTTTCAAATCAGTATTTCTGAGCTGGCAGAAGCATTCTTTGCTTTGTTTTTCTTTTTCTCCCTCCAATATTGCAATGTGGCCAAAATCTCTAGAACTGTTCCAGCAATAAACATTCCCACTAGCGTCGTTTGGATAATAAATCCAATGAAAGACATTTCTCTATTTTGTTTAAATTGTTTGATACTAAAGTATACCTTGCTTTTGCTGGTGGAATACTTGTGCAAGATTGCTGTGATTTGGCTTATTTATTTTCTTCTCCTGTTAGACCGTTTCCATGGATCCACAACCACCTTGGTCATTCATTTTGTTCTACTTGATGCCTGTTCATTATGCTGCTAATAATCTTAATCTTCAATTTCGGATTAATACCGTTTCTGCGGGGATAAGGGAATAAAAAAAAACTTCTTAACTTGTCACAACATGACTTTTATTCATACTATATTGTCTTTGCAATCATACTATACAAATAAAACAAATTTTTTACTTACAATATTGGATTCTGATTATTTTAAATTAAGTTCTGCATGCAACAGCGTGCTGCTTAAAGTGGTGATGAAATAACAAAAAAATATAAACAGAAAACAATACAAATAGAAGAAATTCCAATTACATGTTTTATTTACAGCATGGGGTGAAAATAGAGAAGCCCATGATGGAAGGAAAAAACATAGGTGTGATATTCCCGTCATATGCTTACATCACCCAGATTTCAAAGGCAATTTCACTATTTAGAAAAAAATATAAAAGCAATAACAATTAAATCAAAACAAACCTATTTTTATACAACAGTTACGATCAGGTGATTTTCCATTTGCAATCTGAGTCACGTCATCCTATGACGGGAGTATCTAACCTATGTTTTTTTCTTCCACCATGAGAGAAGCCTGTACATTACATATTTTTGATCGAGTTTTCAACCACTGGATGACCACTAGTAGCTATAAATACATAGGAACAAACATATGATTTAACTACACTCATAGGACAATGTTTAGATTGTCTCTTTTTCAAAAATGTGATTGTGATTAATCTTGAGGATATAAAGAAAAAATTCAGCTGAAATAGTCAATTACCTTCTCTATTTTGTATACTTTTTATTTCTTCCACATTATTCTTAATGTGATGCTGTTGTATGTGTGTGTTGCTAATTATTGTTGTTATGGTGTAAATTAAAATTAATGTTTATTAATTCATATTTGAGGGGGTCAGAAGCCAAGGGGTACAAGTGACATTTTAAAAAATTTTGAGTTAAGTACAGATTTGGATAGAAGATTCAAAAATAAATTTGGTGGTAAAGAGATACAAGTGAAACCTCTGTATAGTGCTGCTCTCTGGTGGAGAAACTAAACAACAGCTGAATGTCTTGTCAGCTGTTTTCAAACATTTGGTGGCCAAGGGGTATAGGTGGCACTTATACCTGTTGTGCTCCAAAGTTGTAGGTTATTATTGAGTGTTGTTTTGTAACAGTGTGTTTCCTCTACCCTTCTCATTTAGTAATATAACTTACTATTAGTTATTTTTCAAGATTATTAAAGGAAGATAAGATTATTAAGTCTGTATGGTAATTTATCCAGTGAATATTTTAAGTTTTAATTATGAGTGATTCAGATCCAGATGATCCACTTCCTAACCTCTTTGGTGGTAAGTGCCAATTTTACACCATTATTTAGTGTTTTGTATGAGAATAGATAATTTTAATGACTAGGAAAATACTTAAATAACCAATTAACTAAATGATTCATTACCTTTATGTAAATCTTGTGTACATTATAAAACAGAATATTGTTATGGCACAACTCTGACTACAGCATAACCTCAATCCATTTCAGGGTATTTTTAAGACCCTTATAGACCAAGTAGTTTTTAAACAAGTAGGCCTAGAATTAATTATTATTTTTTGGCAAAATATTTTACTAAATGTAAACAGATCTGTCCCAGAATGGGTATTTGCCCATGTATTTCCAAAGATAACTAAAAAGTGCGCATTTAGTTATGCATAGGCTTAAAGTTTATAATAGACTTAACAGCCAATAATAATAATAATATTATGATACCATAGCCATATTTTATTCTTATGGTTCCTTACTCAATAATTTGGTTTTGTAAATTTCAATGAGTTGTATTTTTTTAGATGACGATACAGACGAGGATCCAACGTATGAAGAAGAAAGTGCAGAATCTGACGATTCAATTGGCTCTCAAAGAGATAGTGGTGGGTTTATTAACTACTTTATACACTAAACTAACCTAAACTAAAATAATTAACGAACTAACAAACTAACGTAACATAACAAACCTAAACTAACAAGTGGTGTAAAGTTATACTAATTTTACTTTCACCCCCTATATACATAGTATAGGGATAAAGTATTGTTTTTGTCAAAATTTTCGAATTTGAGTTGGCAGTGGAAGTAGGCCTATTTGTTTTGGTGCTCCCTGAATCCAAAAGAGCTAACCGCTTCAGTGGTTTTTGGATTTGTGTCTTGTCTGTATGTGAGTGTGGGTGTGTACATAGCTAGAGAATTCTCTGTACACCGTTGGTCCAATTCGGATGAGATTTGGTATGTAGGTAGGCTATGGGTGATCAATGTTATTCTTATGGGGATTATGTTTGTTTCAGGAGTATGCTTGAGGAAATCTGTTGTCTTAAGCATAAATAAGGGAGAAAGTATGTGTCAGTCTACTGATACCTTTTATTCACTATTGTCTTTCTCCTTTACTTCATAATACTTAGGCTACAAAAAAATTTCAACATTTTTATTTTTTTCAGATGATGGTGCGCTAGATGAGCCACAACCAAAGAGGACAAAACATGAAGGACGTAAGAAAACACGAAGATATGATTTGTGGAAAAGAAATATTTCTAAAAAGAAACGAAATGAAGGTAAATCTTATGTTGATAGGAAAGGCGTACATCATGACAAGAAGCAATTAAGAGAGTGCATCCACCGTTGTAGGTTTAAGTGCAATGACAATCTCAGTGAACAGGATAGGCAAAACATTTTCGAACAATACTGGAATCTTGGAAATTGGGAGCTTCAGTCTGCCTACTTGCATTCATGTATAAAAACAGTAGAACCAAGGAGAAAGAAATTATTTGGACAAGGATCAAAATCTCTCAGCGCCCAATATTTTTTTCTTGACAAGAGAGTATGCAAGAAATTCTTTCTCTGTACTCTTGATATCTCTAACAAAAGAGTGACAAATGTTATCAACAAGAAGACGATTTCTACTTCTGGGATTTCTCCTAGGGACAAGAGGGGTCATAAAGTACCTGGAAACAAACTTTCTGAAGACAAAGTTGCATTCGTTAAAGAGCATATTCGTAGATTTCCAAGATACACAAGTCATTATTCACGCAGTCAAGCTCCAAATAAAAAATATTTATCTCCTGGCCTAAACATCAAAAAGATGTACAACTTGTACAGAGAAAGCTGCGTTGAACACATGGTAGAGCCTGTGAAGGAAAGCTATTATCGCCACATCTTTAATACGGAATTTAACTTGAGCTTTCACAGACCACATACCGACACTTGTGTTACTTGTGACACACTGCAGAATACCATCAACAATGGAACTCCAGATGAGAAACAAAGCGCTATTACACAAAAGGAAGTACATTTGCGGAAAGCAGAATCGGCACGACAACAAATAAAGGACGCTCAAGAAACTGCCAAAGATGATACTAGTCACTTTGTGATTTGTTTTGACCTGCAAAAAATGCTACCCTCTCCGGTCCTTACCTGCTCCAGAGTGTACTACGCGCGACAACTGTGGACGTATAATTTTTGTATACACAATTTGGTAAGTAACAACGCTAGTATGTTCATGTGGCATGAGGCTCAGGCTGCTAGGGGCTGTGAGGAGATGCTCTCTTGCCTGTTGCGACTTGTAAAGACACTGCCTACAAGAGTAAAAAAAATTACAATGTTTAGTGATAATGCAGGTGGGCAGAATAAGAGCCGTTTCACAGTGAAGTTCTGGTTGTATATAGTACGTACTACCCACATTGAGGAGGTGGACCATAAGTACTTATTGTCTGGTCATTCGTATAATGATTGCGACAAAAACTTTGGAGTCATTGAAAGAGCCCACAGGAATTCAGGTACAGGGATATTTACACCAGAACATTGGATGAATATTGTTGCTAAATCGTCTAGCAGATTCATGGTAGTGAACATGGAAGACCAGGATTTCATTTCTTTGAAATCTTTGGAAGAGCATTACGTTAAGTCAGTCACAGGTATTCGTAGTATGCAATGGCTACGTTTTCAAAAGTCAGATCCCTATACACTGTTTTATAAAAACACATTCAATGCTGACATGCCTTTTTCGCAGTACAATATGAAGCCCAAGGAGGCTCCAAAACAACGCCTTCCTCAACAACTATCAGCCAAAAATGCTGCCCCAGGAATTAAAGCAAGCAAGTACAAAGACTTACAGAGCCTGCTTCAGTTCATTCCTCCATCATATCATGCCTTCTACAAAAATCTGAAGATTCAGCGAGAAAGACAACAGCCTGGAAGGGGAGGAACAGTGCCAACCGATGCTGAGGAAGACCGTACTGAAGTTGAAGACGAAGAACCTGATGCCGTTTGGGAAACTGATTCTGAGTAATAACTCAGACGTTATTACGGACAATACAATGTCTCTGTATTCAACTCACTATTTTTGTTTACATTTTGTATTTTAATAAAAGTTCTCTTATACACTATTTTAATTTTTTTCTTCAACTTATTGTCCTTTGGAAGACAAGAGGTACAAGTGACGCTTGCTATCACTATTATCTTAATAACTACCATATTTCCTAAGATTTTTTCACAAAATTAGTATCTAAATTTAAGTTATGATGTGTACAACACAACTTCAACTAATTTAATTTTTAAAACAGGTTGGTTGTTTTACCATAGCATTTTAACTTTGAAGAGTTTTATCTCAAAACTAAGAAACCGTCACTTGTACCCCTTGGCTTCTGACCCCCTCATTTCACTTATGTTCTGCAGTTGAGCGAGATGTTGATGAGGCCTGGCACAGTACCGTCGGTGCCGGCGCCATCTCCTCTCTCCCCCTCCAACACTATCCACATGCGCACTAGTAGAGCCGAGGGCCCCATACACAACCCTCAGGGCAGGTACGCAGATATCCCATACTTAACATGAAGTTCCTGTGTACGTGAGCAATTATTAAAAAATAAGATCTCATAGATAAATTAGGTTTGGTAATAGAAGAAAAAACACTTTTTTGTTTTAAACTATTGTAAATACTTGTGTCCCTGTTGATAGAATAAACATAGATATTTTTGTGATCGCAGCAGTTAATCACAGTGTTGCTGTGATCGTAGGAGACAATTTTATGATTGTGGGAGCCATATATGACTATTTACAGTTATAAAAAACATTGTTTTGATTGATTTGCACTTCCGGCTAATCCAAACAGGGTCTGGTATTTTGTTCAGATTAACTAAATCGTGTAGGCCTGCATTAAATAATAACAAAATATTTCTTTGTCTTAAGTAAATAATAAAATAATAAGCTTAGAGAAATATTAGGGCACTTATTTGTATGTAGATTAGATATATGTTTACTAGTGATATATGTTTCAGTTGCCATGAGCAGTCACTGGGAGGCAGTGTGATGCCGGAGACTGACCCTATGACTGATATGAGTCTCAGCACACTCTACCTACACGAGGTCCACTACAGGTACGGTACTCGACCATCTGTCATAACACCAAACACCATAGGCTGATAACCACTGCAGTCACCATCAGTGATTTGTACACTCACTGAAAACTTATACTTCACTGTAATAGTCAGTTCACAAAATTTAGGCGGCGAATGTTTCCTGGGTTCCCCCACCACTTTTTTTAGCTTATTGTAGATATCAGCTGTCGGTTGTTGTTTCATAGTTAGGGTGAAGTGGAGGGATGGATTTGCTTCTCTTGAAAGTGCCTAAATTTTTTGAACGGAGTATAGTAGATCAGTGCACATACAGATCATTAGTCAATGGTGATGTACAGTTGAAATTTGATAAAAAAATAGAAATGTTAATGTAAAAGGGTGAAGTGGAGGGATGGATTTGTTTCTCCTGAAACTGCCTAAATTGTTTTAACGGAGTGTAGTAGATCAGTGCACATACAGATCATTAGTCAATGGTGATGTACAGTTGAAATTTGATAAAAAAATAAAAATGTTAATGTAAAAGGCCATATAAAAATTGTACAACCATATAAAGATGAAAGAACTCAACTTCATAAACACAAGTACAGTACTACAAAATTACATCTCATCTTAATCCATTCAGACAACGTTGTTTTTTTAGTAATCAAATTATGTGATGTATGTTTTCCTCATTTAGAGTTATTTTGCCCAAAAAGGTTTTTTATTTTTGATTTTCTTTTAGTAGTCTAAAGAAGTGTCAACTTGCACATACTTGTACATACTTCAGTATCCAAAATTCAGTGGCTCTGCACAGTTATGAAAGACTTTCAAAAACATGTTCCAAACTTTGTTGACTCACCATTATTCATAAATGATACTTATTAATGATACATTATTGATAAATGAAGATGTCTCACTGACGTATTGTATTGTGATTGCAGGCAGATGAGGCGGAGAGGTTATCACGAAGGCAGTGTGTGGCTGCGAGGCGGACCTAGCTCATCTCGCACACAGGAGCGGACACCCCTCATCCCCCGCCCCTCGTGACTGCCACCCCCCGGCCCCACCTACGTATAGCCTCACCGTGCCTTACACTCTCACCCTTAAATACAACTCGATATCTAGATTCAAACATTACCAGTAAAAAGTCTTGATTTAAACTTTTTTGGAGGTTCTATTGAATTGCTCTGTCAAAAAATATTCTAAAATCAACCTTTTTAGCTGTAACAGTAACTGATTCAGTGTTTCACTTAACAATGAGAGTGACACTAAAACAGACATAGTGTTCGATATTTTGGTTTTAAATACCGAGTCAGATAAATTGTTTGCAATATAGTCCCAAGAAACGCTATGTACATTAATGACTATGTTGAATTTACAAACCTTAAAAAAATTCTACACCAAAATTTACTGACAAAACCTAATCAGCAGGTAGGTGTTGGTTAGAGAAAATTACTTCTTTTTGGTGAATACAATTTTTACTTTTGTTTTACAAACTTTGACATCAACATATTCTTATTTTAAAACAAAGAAACACTTGAAGTAGGCTAAATAGTTTGTAGCATTTTACAAAAACAGTTTGAATTTCTGGGTATATACGAGGGCCATCCAGAAAGTAACGGACGTTTCGTATTGCCGCTTCGTGTGGTGCTTTTGCCACCACCTTAGTATCAGAGCGTTCCTACACTTAGTATACATCCAGCTAATGTGAGTATCATATATCTAGTACTTTTTCGCAACAGAGTGTTGAAATGAGTGCTGTCTTTGTCCTGTCCCGCCAGTTTTATCACTATCATTATCAATTTTATTGAGATGGGGACACCACCTTGGTGCGTATTTTTAACCCAAATATGAAGGATGAGTGTTGAATATTGTGAGATGATCTAGTTAGCTTTGTTACTGACTAAGATCAGCTGTTTCATTAGTCAGAATCGTTTATTCAAAGCCCAATGATCAGGGACAGCTGGGACCAGTTTCAAACCATCAAAAAGCTACTGACTTTCCTCAGAAGCGATCCACCAACCTATTGATTACTAGGCGAGCACTAAAACCACTCAGCTACCCAGCCAGCCAATTTGTGAAATGGGATCTGTGCTCAGATTTTTATTTAGAAAAATTCATGTGTCAATTGAAATGTATTGCCAGGTTTGGGATTTTTCGGCAAAGGAGTGATGAATTAATGCCAAATGAGCAGCCGTGCATCGGCTTTAGAAATGGCTTAAAACTTGGTTTTTATTTATGTCGTAGTCTTCCAGGATTGTCAGTGCTGGAGTAAGTCTCCGTTAAGGTCTCAGTAAGGCTCAAACTGGCGAGATTTGCAATGACAGTGCTAGTTACAACACTTGATTGCAGAGAGTGTAAGGGAGATATTATGTGCACACTCCCATGGCTGAATGTGTTGCGTACTGAGTGTAAAAACATGCTGATGCTACAATGCCGCCGACAGCATGGCTCTAACGGCGCAGATGTGAAACATCTGTTACTGTCTGGACAGTTGAAAGCCCTTGTATATTTTCTTCATCCTTAAATATAATATTGTATAATTTTAGCTATTTGTTAAGTATGTTGTTCACTACTTAAGGATATCAATAAAGAGTTTCCATTAGGTTTTTAATTTTGAGAACAACAAAACAGGGTATAAAATACAACTTTGAAAAATGGATGTTTTTGAAAAATAACATATATGGTGGGATTTAATTTACAAAATAAAATATCACAAAAAAGATTGATCTCATTCACCAAGTTTTACAATTTGAACTACACAGTGTAGTATTTACGCAAAAACACACAAACACTTTTCTATGCAAAAACAATAAAAGAAAGTTTGAGGCTCCTTGAAACTAAATGGAGCATTGATTGGAATAATTGACCTCTCTTTGTGTTTAGCTATAGTTGTATCTGAAGGGAGCACTCGTGAAGTTCAATTTTTTCTAAGAAGCCTATGAATAAATTTCTTGAAATAATGTTTTTAGTCTTCCCAATGTTTCACATATTAAAACATTTGCACAGGCCTATTGTAAACTTTTTAAGATTGCGCATATTTGTAAGTTTGCTCATTACTTAATTTTATCGATGGCCAGAAAAATATTATTTGTGATTTTTTTTCAATAGGTTGTTTATTTTTTAAACTTCTTTTACATTTTGGATTAATTTCTACACACTTCTAAGTATTGTTTCTTTCTTATCATCCCCTGACTATCAGTTGGTTAGTTTATTTATTGTAAATATTTTTGGAACTCGTACGCTTTTTTAGTATGATTGGTTAGATTGTTCTACAAAACATTTAGGTTTAAGATCCGCTACATGATGCGGTCATTATTTTATCCTTATGAGATTTTTAAAATTTCAAACGATTATTTTTAGTGGGCCTAATTGAAAGATTGTTTGTTATGATAACTGTTGTTTGTGTGTGTGTAATTTTTAAGTTGTTAAATTGTGATAATAGAGGTAACAACTTTTTTTTTAGAATGTAAAAAGGGGCTATCAACAAAAGTAGCTCAGCTGGCGGCAGCCAAGTGTATTAAAGTTTATTTTTCTATTAAACTCGACATTTTAGATCATGCAAAGCTTGATGTTGCACAGTTTGCTTATGGCCCCTTTAGTTGTGCAGTTTTTACTAGTCACATTGTTTTATGTAGTTTTTGAGTTCTTTGATATTATGGACTCCATTTTTGTACGGTTCCGTTGTTTTCATGTTGTTTATACAGTCAAATTTTAATGTGATATGATTGGAGACCATCAATTTTTCATTAACTTCTAGAACTTGCTGTACAAAATGGGGTATCCAAATATAAAAGTACCATTTTTTGTACATAATCTATGCAGTTGTCTAGTGAAAAGAGCGAGAGCAATTTAAAAATTCTAAATGGTGATTTTTGAGAGAATGGCGGTGAATGTTATTGATAATGTCAGTGTTGTGCAGCTTTTTTGCATTAAGGCTCAAAAGTCTTGTCAAACATTAGCTGTTTTGAGGCGAGAACAAATTATACTGTTCATATATTGCATAATGTTAATTTATTGTGTACAGTTCTTTAAAAGTCCATTTAATAAAATAATCTGTGGTACTTAAGTTTATAATTTATATTCCCAAAGTTCTGTAATTAAGTTTCTCTTGGAACCAAATTACCTAAAAGACTTGTGGAATGAGACCCGAGATAAAACTTAATATAATAGTTTAAATATGCTAACATTTTTATCTATCTGAAACAGAGGTACCGGAACTCCGTTCCGCCGCGTTCCCCCCCAAATCGAGCACTGGTTTCAGGGAATTTCCCATGTAGGATATAAGCTATTACTGTAGGTCTCATGGTAAGACCTGGACCCGGGACCGATTTACTTTTTCATTATGATGTCCACAGAGGACAAAAACACACTATCCGTTCAAGTTCTTTAAATATATTACAATATTGTCAATATTGTAATAGCAGTTAGCACAGCAACATGAATGAAAATTATGAAACAAAGTAAAAATCCAATCAGGCAAATGGAAATTCACTACATATCTGCAGGTTTGCTGCCGCAGAAGTTTTTCTTTCTCTTTAAATATTTTTAGTAAATATATCTTAGTCAAATAAACTATGTACTAAGAAAGGAAGAACCAAAGACCATAAAATGTATTTATAAACAGGAATTTTTATAATCTATAAATTATTATTTGTTTGGAAAGGATTTTGTTAAACCATCCTAGTAGCTATTACAAAAACATCTGTCTTAAAATTTATATTTTAATCGTGTTAATCATATTTGAATGTACAGTTGATAAAATATTAAATGCCATTTTATACATATTTGATTCAGTGGTATTTGGGAGCCACTATTCCAGGAAAACCTAAACAAGTAAAATTAAAACTAATCAGCTTATTAAATATTTGTAATAAATTAAATTAAATATACTATACATCGAATTTTATTGAATAGCTTGGTGAATTATCCAATCATTTGCTTACACATCTTAAGTCTTGGTTATTTTTTTAAGTCATCTCTTATCTGTTCAAAAGACTTGTTTTTTGTTTCTGGCATCACAAAAAAAGATATTAAGGCACCAAAAAAGCAAATCACACTGAATAACAAATAGTTGAAATACACCCCAAACCAATCTATAAAGTTTTGGTAGGACTTTAAAGTAACTAGAGTGAAAAAAGTTGATAAAACCGCAGCAATACTGGAGGCATTGGCTCGAGTGTTGGAGTTGAATAGTTCCGAAGTATAGGCTGTATGGACAGGACACATGCCGGCCACTACGATGCCCGCGTAGACAAGGGTTGCTGCAGGGGCTACCCAGCTGTAGGCAGAAACATCTACTTCAGTGTTGGACTGCAAGTAGTAGTACACTCCTGCGATGAATAAACACACGGAAGCTCCGAAAGAAGAACAAATTATGAGTGGTCTTCTGCCCAAAATGTCTATTGTGAAAAAACTGACAATCGCACCTAAAACTAAAACGAAGCCTAGAACCATAGTGATGTATTTTGGAGCAATAGCAACGTCTGTCGTCATGAAGTTTCTCGTAGCATACGATGTAGTCGGCATTATGCCACACAATATCCGTAACGAGCCAGCAAACAGCATGAGGAACAAAGCTTTTCTGTCAGTCTGTGTCGCTACCACTTCTCCCCAGTTAGTCTTCTTCATCTTGTCTTCTTCTACACTCCGTTTAATCTCATCTAACTCTTGACAAATCGAGTCTTCAGAACCTGTTCTAAACCACCTTAATGATCTGTACGCTGCAGTCTCATTTCCCTTCATCAGACAAAAGTAAGGACTTTCCGGTTGCACCAACATGAGTAAGAAATATACAACTGTAGTTGCTAAAGTCAAGTAGGTGAAGTTGGTGAATGACATAAAGGGGCCGGTACAATACTCAAAGAGATATCCACTCCAGGAAAATAGAAAAAATAAACTAGTTATGGCCCCTCGGTTTTCCAAACTGGCGATTTCTCCCAAGTAGACAGGTACTGCAGTGAAAACAATCCCTACTGCTGCTCCTTGTATAGTTCTTGCGACGAGGAGGGAGGAATAGGTTCTCCAGCAGAGGATGATAGCCCAGCCCAGGGTAAATAATGGAGCAGATATCAGCAAGAGAGGCTTCCTTCCAAAGCGGTCTATCAGCAGCCCGGAGGGGATGGGAGTGATCATGTTGGCAAATTCCGGGGTTGATATCATCCATGATGCTTCCTGTGGACTCATCCTTATCTCGCTGTCCGGCCCCAGTAGGTGAGGGAGTATCGGAGTGACCCATCCGAAGAGAGTAGCTGCCGCAAAAGCACCAAGGCTGGCTGGAAACGTTCAATCATTTACTATTTACAATACTCAGAGAAACCTCTTGCTTCATTAACCTGGCTCTTGAAATAATGCTCTGGCCATAAAAGAACTGATTCAAAAGTTAAACTCCCATTGGGATCAAAAACTATTTGGATAGTCAAAAATCCAGATAATTGGATTTTAAAAAAGGCAGGAGACAGTCACACTAGACTACCTGCTAATCAATACAACACTATTATTACAGACTTGCCACACGGTGGACACAATCGGTACACAAAATACATAACAGATTACTGCAATAAACTTTTTTTGTTCTGGCCGATTTTGATTTATTTTTCTCCTTGGGGTAATTGAGATAATTGGAAAACTAGATACTTGAGGTTCAGATAGTTGGCGCTCTAATGTATTTTAGTTAAATGTAACACCTATACAGAATCAAAATACCTACTAAGAAACAATAACAGTTGAAAATGTAGCGTAATACATTTACTTGATTGTAATTAAATGATCGTAAAAAATAGTATATACGGTAAATGAGTCATTGGCATATTGTAAGATTGTTTTCAGCTTCAGCTGATATATAGGGATGATTAATCTCTAACAGAGTTTTTTTTTATCTATGTCTTAATTTTGTAAGTAACATGAAACAATTAATAAGAAAAGTGCCACCAGAATAATTGTTAAGTATTCCTAAATAATTTTATCTAAATGATCTGATCACTTTCTTATACAGTATATTTTACAGCATCAATTTTGAAGCTTCAATTTATTGAAATTACTTGTGTTGAAGATTATGCAAACACTTTGGTGATTGATAATTCAGTTTTAAGTTTCATTTCAGATTACAACATTTTAATCTCCATTTCTAAAGCTTTTACTTTCCAAACCACCCCGAATAGTATTTACTAAATTAGAGCTAAGAAAAATTTAACCACTTTAACAAACAACAATTTAATACTAAATACAAAAAGGGCCCACTTCCCAAAATAACTATGAATAATAGCTCAAGTAATATTAACCAAATGATTGATGAACTTAAAATAATTGGAATTAACACATGAGTTATTTATTTAACTAAATTAATTTAGGATTTTGTTTTATGATCAATGTCTATCTTTGTGACAAAGCTATAAGAAAATAAAATTAAAAACCCCACTCCCTTGTAAGCTGTAAAATTAGCCATGGAATACAAATTTACAGCATAAACTAGTTTTGTGAAATGACTTTTAAATAAAAACGGGTAATATAATATATATATATTCAGCAACATACTGTATATATATATGTTGCTGAATGACAATACAGATTATTATTATTATTATAAGGAGCAACAAAAACTGCATTGTAAAGAACTAGAAATTTCACAATGTATGGTTCTAAAAGTTATAGGCCTATTTAAAGGATGATAAAACAAAACAGTTCAACTATGTAGAATAAGGTCGACTAAATATGATTGTAAGAAGTAAGCACTTACCAAAACTTTCCTATATTGGTTTACATATAAGATATGTGGCTTTCTTGTATAAAAACAAACTATATCCCTTGGTTGTTGGTTGGAATGGTTTTAAATTAATCTAACTCCCTGTAAAATGGATTAATTTTTTTAAGATTAGTGAGCGGCCTTACAAGAGAGGTTAAGTGGTATTAATATAATATCCTAACTTTCATTGTTCTGCATTGACATTACTTATTTATACAAAGATTATTTTATTTTATTTTTAGAAATGAATACAATAACACTCAGACTGTACACTAACCTGAAGAGCCTGCAAAAACCTGTAGACACAGACCCTTGGTGAGTCTGCCTGGCATTTAGGTTGATAGTGATAAAAGGTATTTGTTAGCTCAGTTACTTTAAACCTCTTGAGTTATTATCAGCAGTTGGGGGATCTAAAAGTATGACAGCATCTTGAGTTTTTCAAAGCTAGCTTTGAATGGCAATCACAAGCACCTTAGAGTGAATATTTCATTCAAATTGTGGTCAATAATAACGCTTTTTGATTGGCCTTATCAATATTTTATTTCATCCAAAAATGTTGATTACAAATATTTCTTTTTCTAATTAGTATTTGCTTTTGAGTAGCAGGCAATAATAAATTATCACTGAAATTTTGTTAACCTAAATGTTATTAATACAAAGTATGAAATTATGAAGTATTACAATATTTGATTAAATCCTCTTTTATTTCTAGAAAACTTTTTCCTTTGGTTTCAGGCATCATGAAATAAAAGAAAATTGTGCCCGCAAGGCACACTGCAGTGTATATTAAATAAACAAAGTAAGTCCCAAAAGAATTTGTTATTGGTTCATAAGTTTTAAGAACAAAAAAGGAACAACATGTTATATTTATGCCTAAAATTCCATTGGCCACTCCTCTAGTATTTGTAGGGAAAAGTTCAGAAGAATACGTAACACAAACTGGGTGCATTCCAAAAGTGAGAAAAAAGTTAAAACCTAACAATGCCAATGGAGCGATCCAAGAAAAATCTGCAACATCTCGTTCCAAGTTAAAGTAGAGAAAGAAATAAACTGAGGTAGCAGCTAGACAGACTGTACAACCGATGGATGATGATAAGATGAGAAACCTTCTTCCAAACATATCAGAGAAGAACAGGCTAAGTACACTAGCAAAGACCATAACAACTCCGACCATAATGGTAATGATATCAGGAGATATGATGGTGGTAGGTAAGAGGGAAGTCGTCTCTGTAGTATAGGTCAGTATCGCATTTTGACCACTCAAGAACGAAACCGTTCCGAGAGCCATTAAGAGAAGAAGAGCTCTTCTGTCTGCCGGTGTTGCAATCACATCTCTCCAAGATCCTCTTTCCTCTTGACTCATCATAACTTCCATTTCAATCTCTTTGATTTCCATCTGTATTGAATCTTCAGAAGGTGAATCCCTCAGCCGTTTCAAGGAATTAGTCAACTCAACTGAGTTTTTCTGCAAGGCATAAAAATACGGACTTTCCGGCTGCCAAATAAAGAACGCTAAAAACACTAATCCTATAGAGAATATCGCATAGTTGTAAGTTTCAAACGAAAGATAAGGTCCGATACAATACGGTATTAAACAACCGAGGCTCCAAGCTATATGGTAGAAACTCGTCACGGCTCCTCTCACTTCGGGGCTGGCGATTTCTCCAAGGTAAAGAGGGAGGATTGTGTACGGTATGCACATTCCAGCTCCTATCAGAAACCTTGCGAAACTCAAGGAAGCGAAGGTTTTTACATGGTTGATGAGCAAAGCAGCGAACAAGTATAGAGGGACGCTGAGCAACATGCAGAACTTGCGTCCGTAATTGTCAGATATGTAAACAGCTGGGAACGGGACCACAAGACATCCAACCTCCACACAGGAAACCATCCACGAGACTTCATCTGGAGTCATAGGAACAGGGGAGTCTGGAGCTAACAGATGAGGAAGAAGTGGAGTAGGCCACGCGAACCATGCCCCACCCGCAACCAGACTTATAGCAGCTGTAACAGAACAGTAGATGGTTGATTATTTTTCTAATGCTCTTTTTATACCTAAGTTTTACATTTTTTACTTTCTCCCCCTATACCATAGTATTAGTTTTGTCAAAATTTTCGAGTTTGAGTTTTGAGTGGATACATTCGTTTTGGGTCCCCCTGGACCCAAAAAAGTGGTTTTCGAAGTGATGTCTGTGTTTGTGTGTGTGTGTGTCTGGATGTGTACAGAGCTAGAGACTACACCTGTGGTCCGATTTCGATGAAATTTTGTATGTAGGTTCGAATCCATGGTATCTCCAGGCGTTTTTTTCATTTTTTTGAAATTTTGATTTTTAATGGGGATTTTCCCATAAAAACCCATAAAAATCAGGAAAAATTGAATTTTCTCAAAAATGGCCCGAACGATTTTGATAAAAATTTAGTATGTAATAGTCCTTTAAATTCTGATCAAAATTTTACTAATCCCATTTCCGTATATTTACTCTCACCGCTTACACATGATAAAGGTTGTTGACAAACTTATGGGAGAAAATATGTATCAGAATGCTGATACCGTTTATTTCGTTTTTATTTTATACACCACTGGCGTTTTGTATGAGAGTTAAGGGAAAGTGCTTGAAACATCTCAATTTGTTTTGATATGCTGGGGATCGTGCAAGGTTAAAAGAGGCCGCCAACCTCTTAAAAAAAATAAAAAAAGTTAAGTGTATGAATTTGCCTGTTGTGATTTTAGTTGATTGTTAAATTTGTATATTACACATCAAATCAATTTAATTTATATAAGAGACCTAGTGTTAATTAGGCCTATGTTAGGGGGGCCTAAGAGATAATTTCACTCCCTCCCACCTTTCTCACACGGAATTTCCTCTTCCTTGTGCCTCCAAAAAACCTAAAATCTCTTGCTCCCCTGAACCAGGCCCATTTATTAAAGCATTCCTGATGTTGGTACATTGTCTTAATAATGTCAATGAGTACAATTTCATTTCCTTTTCCATTGTATACAAAAATGTTTTAAATGGGACAAATGACAAAGAATTATTGAAGGCCTGTGGTGAAATTTTCGCACAATCCATTAAGTAATTTTCTCTCCAAAACTATCTTTCATTAGGAAAAAAAAGTATAGATTAACTTTGCTTACCTGCAACTCCGGCTGAATACTGGCGCCATCTCGTCTGGGGAAGCTTCTTGTCTTTTTGTTTGACCACTTGTACTAATCATATAAGAGAGTTACATTTTTTCATTCATATAGTATATAAAGTAACAATTAGATTATGAAAGACGATGTAAAAGAAAATTATTTTTGTTCACACTCTCGTCTAGAGAGTGAGGGAAATCCGAATAGGTAGTTTTCCCTTTGTTTTTGATTTGACGTTTCTTTGTTCGGTTCTGCTTCACTGTCTAGCCAGAAATGACACTTTTGGAACTTGTAATGCAATTTAATATTGTTTGTCAATTAGTTATACTGCATTAAACTAATTCAAATTTGAAATAATATGTTTTTGTAACAATATCACAATCAATGCCTTTCTAATAATGAAGCAATATTATTAGGTAGATGTCTATGTATAAAATTACCTTTTGAATACCTTTAGTACAAAAATGAAACAGAAATAATTTCTTCAAACAAATAATAAGACTTCTAAAGCAACCCACACACTAGGGCGCTTGTGCGCGCGCATGTGACGCGCGAACAGCTCGACGCGCATGCGCCTCAATGTGTGGGTAAATGTGCCCATGCTCACGACGCGCATGCGAGGTGCCTGGTGCCTGCCGCCGGACCTTCGAGCATCGTCACAAGTGTGCGAGCTTGTTATGATGCGCGCCAGTCTGTGGGAAACCGAGGCACATGTTCGCGAACTAGCAGTACAAACCATAGCTGCATATACTGTAAATCGGGAACTACAAGGTCTGCGCCTGCGTGGCACAGTGTACATTAACTGCCCCACGTGTTGCATTTTATTTGTCCTTGTTGTTTGGTTATTATTGACTTATTATTATTATTATTAAACACCAACGGCAAACACCATTTTGCATTAAGTTGACTTCTTTGTTGTGCGGTTAAGATGTCCTTTAATGGCATAAGAAAGATTTGGTCTGACTTTATTGAGCTTTATAGATCAAAAACGTGTTCTTTGGACGTGGGAAGTGTAAACTTTTCAAACAAATAAATGAGAAAAGGATGGAGCTATTGATAACGAAATGCAAGGGGGTGTTTCCTGACAGTGATGATAAGTTTGTGAAGACTGAAATTAACTCTTTGAGAGCTTAATATCGATGTGAACCAAATATACTAATTAAATCTAAGTCTATAACCCTTATACTCTAGAAACAACCCTAATACCCATATATTAAATAATACAACCCTCATTCTCATATTCTTTAATAACTTATTTCCCAAAAACCCAAAACCATAATACATACAACTAATAACTACCCAATTAATTGGTAGTGTATAATCACTTCTGTTTTTTTTTAGACAAATTTTATTCTTTAGTGACTTTGCTTGCAACTATAAAAAAATGTCCTTGTTAAAAAAATGCAAAATGAAAAAAAAATAGTAAAAATTAACATAGTAACGATACAAAGGATTTCAATATAACTGTTGAATTTGCTGTTATAGCCCACTATTTGCATCGTCAAATACGGTGGTGCGTGCGCATGTGTCTTTAGTGAGTGGTTACCAATTGAATCGCACATGTGCCTCGAGCCGCTCGCAGTCACCTCACCACGAGCCACGCAAGGCACATGCGCGCTAGTGTGTGGGCCGCTTAATACTACAAGGCTTTACAAGACACATTTTACCACCAAATAGTGACAAGATTGTAACATTTGGAATTTAGATCCAAAACTTATGAAGCAAATGTCCTACGAGATTGTAAAATTTTTAGCATATATAGGTACTCACAAGGAGTGCAAATGATGTTAGTAAGCTGCAATCGAGTCATTAAAATATATCAAGATTGAGTATTGCCTAGCTTAACACAGAAGTAAGAATGTAGAGTTTGCAATCACCAGTTGTTAACCCCAAGGTTGTGTTATGATAACAAACCACAGGGAACAAATAATAATTATAACTACTATCACTAATTACCTTATTTTTCCTACCTAAATTTTTTGTATCATTCAACCCTTTTATTGTTAGCAATTGCCTATACAATAGCTCACATTAATTTATAAATTATTTAAAAAAATTTTAATTTTAATTTATGTTTTATTTGGAAACAAACTCTTTCTGAGACTTTGCTTCAGTGTGAGAGTCATAATTATTGTGTTGTTAGCGAATTTCCCATATAGGGAATGAGCTATTACCGTAGGTCTCATGGTAAGACCTGGACTCGGGACCAATTTACTTTTTCATTTTGATGTCCCCAGAGGCCAAAAACACCATCCATTCAAATTCATATATATATATTTTTTTTGTTATTGTATACATCAATGAGAGCTACTTTAAATGTTACTAAGTAAATCAAAATACCACAGTACCCTAAAAACATTTTATTTTATATTACTTACATGTTTCGGACATTAATGGATCACAGTATAGTATATAACCTATTAGTTTCTTTTATTTACAAACATTATTAGATATTTCTTGTTAAAGAACAGGTGATAATTTTTATGTTAAGGGAAGGAGGTGTTTTCTTTAAGATTTATAATTTCATTGAATATTACGTTTTGATTTTGAATTTGTGTCAAGTTTAGTAAATTGTCTTTGTAATTAATATGATGAGTATAAATATAAAAGTCTTCTTTTGCATTCATTTTTTCACCTTTATTTTCAACATCCAGAATGTGCATATTTTTATTCATCTCTGAGTATGTATGGTCGGTCTGAAGTATATGTTCGGCGTATGAGGATTTTTGTGTTGTCATGTTGTTTGATCTTATTGTCTGTATATGTTCTTTGTACCTGACTTTGAATGTTCGACCTGTTTGACCAATATAATACTTTTCACAGTTGTTACATGATAATTTGTAAATTCCCGATTTCTTATATACACCGTGTCCCAAAAAAAACTGAACAATTTTATTTACTTATAAAAAGTTTATTAACAATCACACGATAAACTAATTACATTTTAACTGACACAAATATTCCTAAGTTTTGTTTGATATCATATGTGTTAATGATTTTCAACATGGTTGCCATTGTTGACAAAAATATAGTCAATACGGCTGTCCGATTCAGCCCACACTCTATGCCGCATTTCGTCAGTAATGTTAGTAAAGGCTGCATTTATTATTTGCCTAAATTCTCGGACATCGGAAACTACTATCTTATAAACTGATAATTTTGACAAATTTAACTCACATGCTGCACAGCGAACAGACTTTCGAGGGTCGTGAAGAAATAATTGTTGCACGTTTTCAATCAATTCATTTTGGATTTTCGGCCTACCTTTACCTTTTAAATATTGTAATTAAGCTTCCAGTTAACATAAATTTGTCATACCAGGCTCGAATGCTGTTCCGTGATGGAGGACGTCGACCATAGCGTCTTCTAAATGTTCTTTGCACTGCAAAATCTGACTTACTTTGAATGTACCATTCAACGCATTGCGCTTTCTCTCGTGCGTCCATGGTGCTTAATGACAGGGCAATGTTTTTAAATTTCAAGTTTCAAGCGACAACAATGAATCAGCTGATAATTACAATTGATACAGTAGAACCCCTCATATCCGGCCTTGGTTTTACCGGTCCTCTGTTTATCCGGCCCCTTCCAGGAAGCCAATATCAAAATTTTTTTCTCACAGCTTACAGACGTTTAGATGCAAGCACTAGTCTTTGTGACTGCTCAAGTCATAAAATAAATTGTTCTCATTATTTATCTGTTTGTTTATACATTTATTTGCTGAGTCACTATACTCAGTTGAGCTAGTAGGCCTAACCTCTGATCAGTTGGTTGACTATTTCCAAAGTGGGGTTAGTACAGTACAGTACGAGTACATTAATTTTTGTATTTAACAAAATGGTTAAGAATGTTGAGTAGAAATGCATGTACCATTTAAGTCATAATGATCTTTAATTACAATTTATTGTCATTTTTACCTCCATTTTAGGTTGTGTTACCTGGAATCATAATATTTGTACATTCATTACTTAATGACTTTAACCTACAAATATTTTTTTTTCTTTTTACAAACATGTTTATTTTTCTAAAAATGATCCCAGAACAGAATTAAATGATACTTTTGATTGCATATATTGATTACCTATTATTATTAGGTATGAATTGTCATTTTCATAGTAGGTTGGTTTATCCGGCCAAATTGTTATCCGGTCAGGGACTTGGTCCCGTGGTAGCCGGATATGAGGGGTTCTACTGTATTGAACAAAACTTCATGAGCTCAGTTATCATATGATCACCTTCAAAGTAGACTAGGTACGCCTGGACGTATTTTATAACAATTTAAAATTGTTCAGTTTTTTTTGGGACACGGTGTACATTTGGGGGTTGCGTCTCGGATTTGTTCTTTTTTGAATTATGTTAAAAGCGTTATTCCTTGTTTTAAAACTTAGTTTAAATTTTGAGTTCGGTAATGTCTTTCTTAAGGTTTTGTTTAAGGATGAGCTGAATGGAATACATATAAATTCTTTCTTTACGTTTTCTTGTTCTTCTACTTTCATTCTTTTCGTTTTTTTCATTTTTTATTAATTTTTCAATCATTTTTTCTTTGTATCTATTTGTTCCTGCAATTCTTTTTATAGTTTTCTTTTCTATTTCAAAGTTGTCTTTGAGACATTGGTATGTTAAGTAGTCTAAATACCATTGATTTGAATGTAGAAATTTTGTGTTGCCAAGGATGGTTTGACTCAAATGGAATGATTAGGTCAGTTTGGGTAGGTTTCCTATATATATTGAAATTATGTCGATCGTTTTCTTTAGTAATTGTTATGTCTAAGAAATTTATCTTCTTTTCTTGTGTCTCCATCGTAAATTTAATTGTTTGGGAGATAGAATTTAAATATTTCAAAAAATCTTGATATGAGTCTTTATTGCCGTTGTATAAGCATAATATATCATCGACATATCTATACCAATAGATTATATCTTTTTTAAACAGATTTTTGTCGTTTATGATTTTTGATGATTCTAGATGCTGCATATATATGTTTGCTAGAATACCAGAAAGTGGAGAACCCATAGCCAATCCTTCTAATTGTTTGAAAAATTTGCCATTGAATTCAAAATTGCTTTGATTGATTGCTACTCTAGATAGTTTCATAAGATCATTTAACTCATTTTTTGAAACCTGTTTATTTTTGTTTAAAGTTTCTTGAAGGATTTTAAGGGTATCTTTTGTAGGAATATTTGAATACATATTAATTACATCAAAGGAGATGAAAATTGCATTTTCAGGTATTAATTCATCCTTAATTTTTTCAATTAATTTATATGTATTGTTGCTACTGTATCCAGATTCAAAGTTTATCTTATGTTTTAGTTTATTATTTAGGTACTTACATACATTGTATGCTGGGGCATTCCTGTAGTGAACAACAGGACGTATTGGTACATTTGTTTTATGTGTTTTAAGGTTGTCCTCTAAATTTTGGTATTATTGGATTTATCATTTTTAGTTGTATCATTTCACTTTTACTTAAAGTTTTACATTTAGATATTGTACTATTAATTTCTTTACTGTATTCTAGTGTGGGATCTTTAGAGAGTTCTCTGTAATTATTGTCTTCAATAAAGTTTTCTACCTTTTTGTTATAGTCGTCTATGTTTATTATAACAGTTGTATTTCCCTTATCAGCTTTGGTTATTATTGCGTTGTTATCTTTGAGTTTCTTTTTATATTGATGTGACAGTATTTAAGTCTTTTCTAGATTTCTTTATTATACCTTTGTTTTTAGATTCTATTCTGTTTTTGTCTAATTCGTGTACAAAATTATGTCTAATTGACTCTTGGATGTCTGTCTTTTGTTTTCTTATTGCAACTTCTAGATCTAGCATTTCATCTTTTATAACCTTCTGTTGGAAGTCCATGTTAATGTTGTATTTTAGTGCTTTTGATAACATTTCTGTTTCATCTTTTTCAAATACAATATTTGTTAGATTTTGAACTTTGGGATAAAATGAATGGGTTTCATTCGAATTTTCATTTTTTATCTTTTTAGCTTTTTGACCTATCAGACTTTGTAGCTTCTTGTGATGAGTTTCTTTTTTTCTTTTTATAATTGGTTCAATCCAATTTTGTATGTAGGCCTATTCATTGAATTCTTCAATTGATTCTGAGTGGTAATTTTTATTGATTTCTGTCTTTATGATGTTCATTTTTTCATTCAGAGTATTCAGTTTAGAATATAGACTGTTAATTTCTTCTTTTATCCATATCTTCTTTGCAATTGTTAATGTTTTCTGAGCTGCAATTGATTTAGATTTTGTGTTAATTTGAATGTAGTTTGGCGTTATATTCTCATGTATACATCTTTTATTGAAAGAAATATCTTCTTTTATTGTTGCAATTCTCAAGGTTATCCTATACTCTAATACGAGCAAGGTTTGCTTGTATGTATATATGTATGTATGTATGTATGTATGCTTGCACCAAGATCTCGAAAACGGCTCCGACGATTTTCTTCAAATGTTGTAAATAGTTTATTTCTGGCCTAAAAACGAGTTTACTGCAGTTAGAACTGCCAACAAAAATCTAAATACGTAGAAAAATGAAACTGAAAATCACATTTTTTTAACATTAGTCTTATGGGTTGCTAGGTAACCATGTTGGCAGAATTAAATAACAAGGAAAAGGTAAACAACAGACTTGAAGTTGTAGCATGTGTTCATAATAAGCCAACTACCCACAGTATACTAGCAAATTACAAATACAGTACAAAAGGAAAAACATCAGTTGTTACTATTAAGCAAAGATTATACTGAAGATTAATCGATACATGATACCATTATACATTTTAGTCAAGGGTAGCAGTGAGAAGTCTGGGATCTGTTTATGACGATTAGATTAAG